GCCTAGCTAAGAACTGGCCACGCCAGATCCTCCGCCGTCTGGCTTCTTCTGGTCGCTAGGCGGTCCCTCCCCGCTCCAAGCCCGGGGTCAGCGATCGCCTCGTGGAAATCAAGAGTAGGCCTAATAAGCCACCTCTTGTAGGGGAACAAATTTTATTACTCAGATAGCAAGAAGATTTAGAAAAAACCCTGTACATCGGATCTCGCCGGCGCCGGGTGGTAGCAAGAACGATGTCAGGGTACTCAGGGCGCCTTTCGGATTGGACAAAAACGACACGTCTGCCCGGACGACACGCCATGGAGATTGCCTCATGCTCTGCATACAACGCCAGGACAGTCTCCACAAACGCCGACCTCCACGCTCTTCTCGACGCTGCAGAGCACATCAACTACCACATCATCGCTCTGCAGGAAACGAAGTCCAGGAAGAAGGACGTGCGACAGATGAGTGATGGGACCCTCATCATTCGTGGTGAAAAGGTTCCATCACGAAACGTGGGAGGCGTCGGCTTTGTCGTCCACCCATCTATCGTCCATCTTGTCGATTCGCACGAGATCCTATCACCTCGACTAGGCATCCTACGACTACGACCTCCACATCAGAAGACCATCAGCATCATCAACTGCTATTCTCCAACATCAGCAACTGACGAATCAGAACTAGATGCTTTCTACGAAGATGTGGAGGAGGTCGTCCGCAACGAGAAGTCCTTTTATAAGTTTGTGGGCGACTTTAACGCGAAAATCGGGATGCCACTGGAAAAGGAATATAGGATCGGGAAGTTTGGATATGGGCTCCGGAACGAAAACGGCAACAGTCTTGTTGGGCTTCTCTCCGCCGCACGACTTTTCCATGGAAATTCCATCTTTATGAAGAAAGAACATCGCCGGTGGACATGGAAATCGCCCAACGGAACGACCCACGCGGAGATCGACCACATTCTCACCAACCGAAGGTGGAGCTTGCTCGATATCTCAGTAGTTCCATCCTTCTGCAGTGGCTCCGATCACCGCCTTCTTCGAGCGAAGGTACGATTCAGTCGAAGGCTGGAAAAGAAGGTCTGCCACAGTGCCGCAAGAAGGAATAATGTCGTTTATGACGGTAACAGGCTGGAGGAGCTCATATCAAGTTGTGACTGGCCCATCGAGGAGGACCCAACGTACGACTACGACCGGCTTCTGAAAGGATTGCGAGCCTACGGAGAGTGCGCCTCAGTGACTTCCGAGAAGAATTTAGAACGCGTTTCGAAGACCACCAAGGAAATGCTTGAAAGAAGAAGATTTCTGAGGCAGGATCCGAATGCAACCCATCTCGAGCGACTGATAGCCAACGCCAGTTGCAGAACAGCTTTGCAGGAGGATCTCAGGAAGTACAGGCAAGCCAAGATACTGGAAGCAGCCGAAGGAAGACGAAGTCTCAAGAAGTGCCGAAGGGACCTCTGTGAATATCACGTACCGCTGGCTGCACTATTGAACGAAGACGGGACTCCGACTTCTTCCCGATACAAGATGGAATCTATCGCGAAGAACTTCTATACCAACCTTTTCCGCTCATCAACACCCGTGCCGATGCCCGTTGTTCCCACTGGAGAAGTACCACCACGAATTCTACCTGCTGAAGTGCGCACAGCGATTCAGACCATGAAGACGTCCACGGCTCCAGGACCAGACCATCTTTCCGTTGATTTTCTGCGAGCTGGAAGGACAACGTCTACACGAGATCCTCGCGTCGCACCTAATAACTTACCTTCAGAAGGAAAGGATTCCCGACCAGTGGAGAACATCAAGAACCGTCCTTCTTTTCAAGAAGGGTGAATGGGAAGATCTTCGGAACTACCGTCCAATATGCCTGCTGAGTGTGCTGTACAAGCTTTTCACGAAGATTATCCTCGCTCGCATATCTAGGACACTGGATGAAGCCCAACCCCAAGAACAAGCTGGATTTCGCAAAGGATTCAGCTGCATGGACCACATCCAGACGGTTTCGAGGGTCATAGAAGTCTGCCGGGAATACCGATTGCCTCTCGTCCTAACCTTTGTCGACTACGAGAAAGTCTTTGACAGCGTCGAAACCAACGCCATCCTGTCCGCGCTAGTCGATCAAGGAGTGGACCCAGCTTACGTGAGGACGTTAGCCGACTGTTACAAGGACTGTACAACGACGATGCAGCTATTCCATCGCCCCCTGACCATCCCAATTGAGAAGGGGGTTCGACAAGGCGACACAATTTCGCCGAAGCTGTTCACCGCGGCCTTGCAGTGGGTGATGAAGTCACTGGACTGGGACGAGAGAGGCATACGAGTTGATGGGAGATTCCTGTCGAACCTTCGTTTTGCGGACGACATCGTTCTCTTTTCGAGCAGTATCACTGAAGCAGAGGCGATGCTGAAGGAACTGAACGAAGTAGGGAAGAAGATCGGATTGCGAATCAATCGAAAGAAGACTCAGTTCATGAAGAACGCCCTTTGCGAAGATGCAGAAATGGAATTGGAAGGCACCCCTATCACGGAGACGTCTTCTTACGTGTATCTCGGACGTTCGATGAACATGGAGAACGACTTGAGGGAAGAACTTAACAGGAGAAGAAGAGCAGCCTGGGCCGCCTTCAGGCCTCTGAAGGAAGCCACCGACCAACTGACGGACCCGGAGCTTCGTGCCCACCTGTTCGACTCAACCGTTCTCCCGGCGCTCTGTTACGCAGCTGAGACTTGAACTGACACCGTCGCCACTTCGAAAGCTTTAAGGACCACCCACAGAGCGCTAGAGCGTAGTCTTCTGAAGATGACCTGACACAAACAACATCTCGTCGGACTTCGCAGTACGAATATGAGGAGAATGTCCCGTCTTCGTGACCCAGCGGATTACGTTGCGAAAGCGAAGCATCGATGGGCCGGTCACATCACGAGAAGAACAGACGACAGATGGACACTAAGAACATCGGAGTGGATTCCTCGCGAAGCAAAACGTCCCCGAGGAAGACCACCAACGAGATGGGCAGACGTGTTTGTGGAACGGATGGACCGGCTGAGAAATCAGCTGGATACGATTTTTGCACCTGGAACTCGTGGACGCAGCCACCGACGTCAGCCAAGAAGATCGTGGATGTCAGAAGCGAGGGACAGGGAGAAATGGAAACTTCTGAGCTGGGGCCCGCACGTCACGTGAAGCCGGGCCATCTAAGTATCTAAGTATCTAAGTAAGTAATACTATGAAATCTCAAAGGAACTGCTAAGACGTTGTCGGGTGATTTTAGATGCTAATTACGAAAATGTTACTCACAAGGGAATGGTCAGAAGTCGAAGTGGCCAATCCATACAAGCTGCATACCATTCGATGCAGCATAAAATGCTGATTTCAAATCTGTCTTCCATATCTGCAGAGCGCCTTTGTAGGCGAAGTTATGAGCAGCTTTACTGCGAAAAAATCGTACACAAAAATTGAGAAATTAGGCACATTATTGCTCGTTCAGCTCAACTCTAGGTGCTGGTCATATGAAGTCACCTAAGTGCGTGTTTTGGTCCAAACTGAGCCAAGAATGGCTTTGTACGGCCAAGTTTGCACTTTACACGCACAATTTCTTAGCAAAATAATGACCTTCAACGGCTTATAATTTCGTCCACAAAAGCGCTCTGCAGATAGGGAAGACAGATTTAGAGTCAGCATTTTATGCTGCATCTAATGATATGCAGCTTGTATGGATTGATCACTTCGACTTCTGACTATTCCCTTGTCAGGTAAGTTAGACGATCCGGCGGTCACGTGCCACACCTCGGTGGTTCCCTAGTATTCTTTTGCCTTAGCAATTTTTCGTAGCATTAAATTAGGGGAACAGCCGAGAGTGGCGAGACAAGTGGAGACGTTTGGTGGGCTGGAATCAAGACGAAGAGATGAAGACAAAAGCTTTGGGACGTACGGCCGTAGATTGACGAGTAAAGAACGCCCCGTTCGACACAGCAGTATCCGGCACCAGTACACGCATTTTTGGGACACTCTGTCTTTCGCATCAGGATCAACTGGATGCGCATAACACATCTTTCATTGTTTTCATTTCCATGGTCAAAAAGTGTACGATCCTTTGGTACAACCGTAACGGAGAAGCAACATGGTGTACGCATGACAACAAAGGTGGTGCTATCAAGATAGGCTGCAAGTCACTGGAACATTTATTCTTTCTACTAAGGTGTCTCACACAATCTAATAAATAGGATATTTGATGTTGTCGACTTCTAGGTGGAAAATGCAACATTAAAAAAGCCCCGATGAAAGATATATTACAATGACATATATGTAAAAAGTCGCCTTCGAAAATACAAAGAAGCAAAACAGCTGCTAAAACCTTAAACTCTATCAGGGGATTGTTACCCGCACAGGAGACTAAGGGCCGCATGCATTAACATCTCCGCCGGGGAGGGGATCGCAGCTTACAAAGAAAGCTTCATATCCTGAAGCTACGAACTTCTGATTTCACGCCGTCTACCCATCCGTAAGCATTCCTACCATCCTTCACTATGAACATATTGGACAGGAGCGAGAAGCCGTACAAGTCGCATTTTCTAGCATTTTGTATGATACCCTGATGATCCATGGCGGCCGACGTCTTTTCTTCAAAGTCATTTTTCTTATTCCAACGTTAGCGAAACATTCCAAAGTTGTACTGTTCATCTACCCCAACAGTGCTATGCACGTATTAGTCATGAGAAAAATTCGATTTTTCAAAAACTCATCTGTTTTTATCCAACATGTTTAGCACTGTTGGTCTAGACGAAAAGTACAACTTCGGAAGAGTATCGCTAACTTCGAAGGAAAAAAAGTGACTTTGAAGAAAAGACGGTCGGCCGTCCGGTATCATCAGATGATCACAAAAAATGCTGGAAAATGCGATTTGTACAGCTTTCCGCTCCCGTTTATTATGTTCACAGCGAAGGAAGGTACGAACACTTACGGATGGGTATACAGCGTGAAATCCAGATATCTGGAGCTTCAAGATGTGAAACTTTCTTTGTAAACTGCGATCCCCTCTCTAGCGGAGATGTTACTGCATGCGGCCCTAAGATAAATCTCTGCTAAAACAATCTAGAATGAGTATGATACAGGGCGAACACTCAGCAAAAATTGCGAAAAATCGTCCACTGATCCGGCAACCAGTAGGATGGAGGGATAAGGGTACAAGGAAAAGAAAGAAACACATAAAGAAAGCAAATGGTATAAAATTCGATATGAAGTAAGCTAAGGCAACAATCTAGATAGTGAATTGGCATCACGTACAAAAGAAAAGCTAAATAAAATCACTGACAACCAGTAAGTCTCATAACTTTGGTAAAGCTGTTTTGGTCCTCGCTATCAAGTATATAAGATACAACCAAGACTAAGCAAAGAGATATTCGGTCAAAGAAAGTGGTTGACGTTTTGTTTCTATGACTGGTAAATGAGCAACCTGCCTTCGACGTCCTTCCGCTTTGATGAAGCACCATCGCGGCTTGAGATGGTGATTTGCACAGTAAACATCAACAAAGTACCGCGACAGCTACAAACAAATATTGTGATATCTATATTATATGGATATCAACGTACCATTTCTTCATAGTCATGAGGATAGCCATTTGTGATAACTAGGTTGATATTTTGCAATCTTCTGAAGATTCTGCTGTCGACAATTGAACGCAGCATGACCGAGTTTACGGGGACAGAGCAATGCAATTCTTCTAGATTTGGAAGACCAGAGATAGCCTGCAAAATAGGTAGTGAGTTGAGAAGTTTTATAAGACGAGAACCTCAAAAAAAAAGCTCACTCGGTAAATTCCGCTAGAAGAAACTCGAGGTAATTTTGACAGTTTGAGTTTTTTGATTGCTGTGAGTTCCTGTAAAAGTCATATCGTATCAACAAACGCAGCGATCTAGTCAAATGATACCTCAAAGATGTACATCAGATCCGAGTCGGTAACAGAAAGACTTCCAAGAGATAGTGACTTGACGCTTCGGGGAATTGAAGTTAATAAATCGGCAATTTCGTCAGGACCAGTTTCGATTATATTACTAAAGTGAGTCCTTACAGCAATCAGTAGAACGTGATACAACAAAAACTGACCTTATAATCAAATCTTCAAGAAAACAGCAACGAAGTAGACCATTCTGTAATGCAATAGACATTCCATAACATTTCCAACCACCACATGAGATCTTTCGCAGATAGGGGAACTTCCCAAGACCTAAATAAAGAATGAGCTTATTTCAAAGGCAGAAATTATAACTCTTACAACTGATTATGTTGCATTACACATTTGAAAAGAAGAAATCCCGAATATGTGACTATACTCCATGTCATCTATCTCTTGAATTATAGCGGCTTCGGAGCTTGCAACTCATGATCAATCGATCACTTTGGAAAATGCCGTATCTCTTTGCCTGTTCCCTTCAATTTTTCAAAGTTTCCGTTTGTCATCTAAATTTTCCATTGTGCATTCCTTTTGGCTCATCTCCGTACAGGTGATCATGGTTGCTTTGGCGACAACGCAAATTGGAAGAGATAGTTCATCAGGATGCTTACTGAACTATTTCCACAATATTTATTACGAATTTCGATCCGTAATGTCGATGAGTTGCTTTGACATTTCTGACTTTCCTTCACTTCCAGCGGACGCCTTTACTCTCATTTGCATCGTTGGAAGCTTCCTTATGTAACTCTGATGCTGAAGACAGTGTGACTAGTCAGAATATTCGGCTCTATAGCATAGGGCGCACTTCAGTGTACTCTGGCTCTATAGCAGTAGGCTTGACACAGATGATATCGATACTGAAGTCCAGGAAGATGAGATGTACTGCATACCTGAGCACATTCTTCGCCGACTCCATTTCGGTCATAAAACGTGGTAAAGCAACACCTGACCTTTAATGTATAACAACATAAGTCGGACTGCTCTGAAATAGATGGCAATTCTTTGATACTACACAGAACATCAATCTTATGAATGAGATCTGCTGATTGAACTTCGTGTTTCCAATTGCACCCTCAATTCTTCGCATCCCTCTTGCTGAAAAGAGCTACGAATCCTGACACTGACGCGCGTAAAGATCTGGTAGCCATTGAAGATAAACAGAATGAGCCGTTCGCTTCCTTGGTTAGCGGTCATACCCGTGAGAATAAACAAAGCAAATAATACCTATTAAGAGCCACTGCCTCCAAGTTGTGCTATATATGATTTGCGTCAATATCTTTAGCAAATATAATCACTACGACTTGAACTTACGCTTTTACACTAATCGAAAAAAGTGCTTGCGACACAGGCACATAAATTTATAAACTAGCAACTGCCGTTGTCAACTGTAAACTCGAGATACTAGACACAGAATTTGCTATGGTTGTCAATCCGTTTGTAAGTTATTTACAAAAACTTTTGAAAGCTAAAACGAACAACATGGAAGTAAACATACTGTGGAGAACGAAGGCCAGATCTTCGACTTCTCGACGATTCTTGGGCTGAACCATCAGCTGCAGTTCGGTGATCTATAAAGCATTACATCAGGTAAAGGGGAACTGCACATAAGCTCTGAAATGATAATGCCAACATAAAAATTAACATTTCTGAGTGTTGGTAGCACGCGAAGTGCTAGGAACAGCATGCCGCCTCTTTTGCTTTGCGAGCAAGCTATGTCGACTCGTAATTCACTGGTAGCTGTAGAGACGGTTTCCAAAAAAGAGCGGATGTCTTGTAAAGTCAAATTGCTGAAATAACGAATTGCTTGCACATAACTCAGGCAGCAAAATGTTAGAAATTATAATAATAAGAGGATGAAAGAATTGAGTTCAAAGCCCAAACTAACTAGATATTAGAAACGGTGAGGCGAAGATAAACTTCGTCAAGAACCATCTTCAACTCCCGTATACGACTGAAAAGCTCCACACCAAAAGGCAATATTTTGAAGTTCTCCAACTTGAGCTTTCGTAAACCAGAGCATAACGACAACTGAAAATGCTTCGTTTTTGTGTGCCATGATAGTTAAGTTCTGACAGACGGGCATATTGCACCCAGCAAAAAAAGACTATTTATCGCGTCAATTGATCACGTTTTATACAAACACGAAGTTCAGATATTATGTGAAGGATGGATTTTTGAAACTCATGATATGGTGAGAAGATGTTTGGCGAACCTGGGAGGTGCTTGTAAAATCACAAAGCGTGAGTGCCTTTACTTTCAATAAAGACAAATTTCCTGTTCAGTTTGGTCATCTGTTTGGATCAGGGGTGCTAATACATAGGTAAAGGTTAAGTGCACGAGCATCATATTGGAGACGGCGCCTAATGACAATTCTCTTCCTACCCCTGACCTCTGTCTCAATGACAGTGTTGAGGCTAGTGCAGCTCGAGTCCCGCGCGCCGCTATATTCGGCTTTGTGCCGCGAGGGGTAGAGGAACGAACACCTCAATCAGGCACCGTCTTCGCGAAGTTGGTGCTTTCGCTGTACTACTGTCCACGGCGTGAAGACCAGTGGTCCGCGGAGGCGATGCCTAATGGAGGCGTCGTTCCCCTAACCCGCCGTGAGTATTCGCTGACCAATCTTAAAGGCAGCGTCCAGGCAAATCTCGACATATGGAAATCTCACGTGGACAGTAATCGGGGCCCTAACTAAGCCACTGCCCAACCGGCAGCTCAGGTAATGCTCTATCAGCTGAGATATTCGCCTCCAAACTGGACCCCCGAGATCGTATTCGCATGGATTCATGGCGGACATATCAGTTTCGCGCGCGGACCCACGCGTGTCGTGCCATGCATCCATGCGAATAGGATCCCGGGGTCTAGTTTGGAGGCGATTATCTCAACTGTGAGTTTACCATTTGAGCTGCCGCTTGGGCAGTGCAGTTCACTTATGCGCTCCAGTTGTTTAGCCCTATGGCTAACTGGAGACGTGAGAATCTCGCTTATGTTGAACTTTGGTGTCTCCTTTTTACATGAACACGATATCTTTCAAGCTTTATTGAGACAATTAATGTGCGAATAGGTGGAGGGGTAGAAGACAGCTCCCAACAGGAGGAGCAAAACTAGTCGACATGCATTTCAAGAATGTAAAAACTACCCGTGGAAGTCGCAAGCTGATGATCTACTGTTCTTGAACGCTAAGCCAGAGAAGCAGTACATCAGGATGCGCTGCCTGTATTGTCATACAGCGGGCAGCTAATGACTTAAAAACAAGTAAAAAGAAGCGAAATCAACAACCATAAATCAATACGAATATGATGACAATATTATCTTACAAGATGCTTTTTTCTGAAGCGTCGTAGAGGTGTAACTTTCGGTTGACGCTGAAGGCGTGGTAGGCGAGAAGAACGATAGAAGTGATGTGAAAAGGATCCAGCAGTACTCGATGATGATTTGCAGATTTTCCAGACTGAAAAGAAGGTAAAGATATCATCACAAGATGACGCTATAAGCGGTTTCCACATCGTTGGTGTTCGAATAGTATGAGATGCTGCTTCTAGCAAAGCTCATTACACGTTTTTGCCCGTGGCATCTCTTGTATAACTTGTGCCGGGGCCTACCTACTTGCGCATACGCACTAATTCAGCCAATCGTGGCGTCTCTTTGGGCCTTGTTTTCGCTGACAATGAGATGATTGACACTCTTCTAACCTCACTCTTCAGGAGATGCATCCTCAAACTCCTTTGTGTTCCAGTATCTTTCAATGCAAACTAGTTTTCGTAAACATAATTGTTGCCCCGTTGCTACTGCAGTTACGTTTGTGTAGGACTGCATAGCTCATTTTGGTACATCAACCGAGCGCACGCCAATTGACGCTACAGCATAGGCAAATAGTTGGGCTTCGTTGATAATCCAACTCACAAATCTCTGAGCTCATTCATTTCCAAAATCGCCTTCCTTACCATTCTTACACTATTCAAGATAAAAACCTCGCACATCTGAGACACACCCTCGCATCGCGCATATCCATCGAGGATCTCACGATACAAGCAGGTAAGGCCAAGTACGACGTTGTCGGACTGACCGAAGGAGACACCTCCGGCCGAACTGCACGTTTGATGCTGAAAGAAAAAGCTGTTCTTAGGAACATGCGACAGCAGTGGACTCAGCGGTGTAAGAGTGTTTTTATAGTCAACGGTAAAAAAAGTGCTTGTTTATAGTAGTTTCGTGAACCTCGATTTATTCGATCATCTAACAATCCTAACCAGACGTCTGCAAACATCAACACGTTGATCAAACCCAGCCTTGACAAACCATTGCATACGCCCAAGATCAAGCTACGATGGAGACGACGTCAAGGTTTCTACACGGATTTGGAGAGGCTTCTACAGAAAAGAGCACACCTTTCACGAAGTCATGGTCGGTGACTTCAACGCAAGATCAACAAGAAGCTTGCAGAGCTTCACATCGGGACCCACGGATTTCAGTGGGATGAGTAAGGGGAGAGCTCATCTGAGTTTTCATGACGAAAATGAGGCTTACAATTCCAAGAAGCTCCCTCCTAACGCTGGACGCGGGTTTCACGGTGGAGGGGGACATAATAAGACCGATCACATTTGTTGTTCCCAAATTCTACATGGAATCGGATCAATGTATCCTTCGTGCTGAGTTCCACTTTTTCGGGAATGGAAAGAGAGCCGCTGAGTTCAAGAAAAACACCGTCCCAAGACTACCATCAAGTGGAATCTAGTCTCCGGCTTTCGGTAAAACACCATGGCCGACAACATCCACGAGGGATACGAACGCTTTATCCAGCATCTCGGATTGTGCTAAGGAAGCTGAGAGTCTAAGAAGTACGAGAAAGCGTCTGTCTACGAAGGCGCTACTCAATCGCCAACGGACACCAGGGCCCGGCACGAGTCGGTTTCTAGGGTTCCTGAAAACGAAGTCTCTCCTGACTTTCGGAAGCTTTACGAAGTCCCCTTTGACCTAGCTGCTTAGGGGAAGATGAAAACAAGAAAGATTTATAAGTCTGAAAGAAAAGACGTGAGATAAGAGTGAAAATCCAGTGAACTGGAGCTGATTATTATGCATGCACAAGACTTGACATTAGAGCGCGATATTCAAAAAAGCGAGAAGAAATGAAGGCAAAAAACAAAGGAAAAGCAATGATATGAAAATGTCTTTATGCTCAGTGATAGATTTTTGACCGGGGAATCCGTCCATGCTGAAAAATCCGAAACTTATGTGAAGTGACGAAAATATATGCTCCAGACGATCTCAGATCGTCTGGTGGCCGTTTGGAGACGATCTAATTTTGGAAAAGGTATTACTTCACATAAGTTTTCAAATCTTTTTACATAGTTCTTCCGCAAATAATTTTCTATATATACGGTGCAATTTTGGTGTCATATGATTCTGTGTACGCTGTAAACAAGCAATTTTTTCATTTTAGCCTTGCTTTCAAATCGCGCGCACTTTTCGCCATCACGGTAGAGCATGCCAGTCGTGTGATGACCTGTCCGGAAAGCTTGTGTTCGACCAAATGGCGCTTATTCTTGGTGCTCGGTTCCTACTCATCAAAAACGATATCCCCTTTGCTGTTTGCTTCAAAAACGAAGTCCAGCCTGCTTCCAGACGATCTGTGCCGGGCCCTGACGGACACGCGTCGCAGGCAAACACCAACTGACGTCCAAGATAAAACAAGATCTCAAGAAAGAAGTGTACAAATGATAATCGACGCTGCGGAGGCTGGAAGAAGTATGCGCAACGCTCGCCGGAGCATCGTCATTTCAAAGATCGACATGGGAAAATCGCACTTCGCCGCTCTACTGGAAACACAACCTCTCTCGAAGTTTGACGGAGAAAGTTATTCACGACTTCTATTCAAATCTCTATGCGAGCCACGTCCACATGGCAAGCCAATGGAAGACCAGCAAGACTGTGTACAAGAAGGGCCCGCGAATCGCGATTTATCAGCTCGTCTGCTCAAAGGCAGTGTCCAGGCTAAACCTAACCCCCTCCGATTAGTGTCGATCCTGAATGTAGGCCCCAAAAAAGGGGCATCTGCGCTGGTCCGGTCTTCTAACGTTGTCTCTGAATAGAGATAAGCGGCCTGGAAGTCCCTGGCTGGGCGGTCTGATATCAGACTCCGCCCATCAGGGACTGCCTCCCGACACATATTGATATGGTAGTGAGCAGAAGCTGCACACTGCACACTGCAATGTAACTGCACCCATGCAGTTGCAGCTCCTTCCCGCTGGCCTGCCGACGTGGACGAGCGATTCGAAACTCGTCCGCGCCCTCGAGACAGGGTCCCCAGGAATCCGGTTTTTTGTGAATTTTGGAGAGTTTGAAGTCTGGAACTGTAATCATGCTCACGGAAAGGCCCCAAAATGACGAAAACATGGAAGGCCAAACTCTGGATGGACGCTGCCTTTGATGCCCATAGTTTACGAACTTTTCAAGAGTAATTCTCAACAGGATCAGAAAAGAACAGGACGAAGGACGACAATGGGAGCAAGCCGGGTTCAGGAAAGGAATTAGCAATTGGACCACACGCACACGTATCAAGGCTCATCGAAATATACCGGGAGTAGAGGACGCCGCTCCGTTTCACCTCCATTTATTTGAATAAGGCATTTTATTAACTGTGACTGTCGTCGATGCCCCGAGCAATCAACGTATACTAACTCAGTACCTCAAGATAATTCGTTAGCCATACAACAACTTCACAATCATATCAATATACAAGGATATCATCACCCACGTGAAGAGAGGAGTTCGACAAGAACCATCGCCGAACAATTACGCTAGAATGGACATGGGAGTGAAAGTCGACGACCGGCAACTACACCACTTTCGCTTCGCTGATGTTATAGTCCTGATTACACCAAACATCGCGCAAGTGCAACGAATGCGGGCCCATTTTGATGACGTTTGCGGGAAGATCGGAGGCTATACGACAACGATGTTCATGAAAAACGGACGGTTTCCTGATGCTTTCTTCACACTGAATGGAGCGACTATCACCGAATGCCTAGCTACGCCTAACTAGGTCGAGTTTAGAACGATCTGGCCCTGGGGCTGAGTCGGATGGAACGAGCAGCATGGGAAGTGTCGCATCTCGTGATGCAAGGCGTTCTTCGAACGGCCGGGACATCAGTTACCGCGCTATCCGGCGACGATTACAGTAGTCGGGGCTTGCCGCGATCGTCCCCAGATCTCTCCTTCATTGGCTCGCTGCCAGCCATGCGGCTATATAAAGCGGCAGCGCCTCACCTTGGTGCCTTGTTCGTCTTCGTTTTTATCGATTACTGATTCAATTTCTTGTTCGAAAATTAATTCATCCGCTATGCTCCTGTCCTTATTCGTAAGAGCAGTTGAGCCGAACGTTCCTTGAATTGGAAAACGGATTCTCTTAACCAGCGCATTTAGATGCGCCGTAGTACTGATCGAAATCGAGTGTCAGGTTGGAACTCTAATATTTCCAGGAGCTGGAGGGGACGTGACGTAGTCTGCAACTTGGCGCTGCGCGGTGGATTTGTTGCGCGAACCTTGGAAGCCACGTGTATTTGAGATTACTTCCACAGACGCGCATGGTAGCGTAGGACGGGCCTCGTCCCGTGTTTCATCTGATAGTAGTAGTAACTTGTTTTTAGTTGTGTTTGTTCATTTTAACTGTAGTTGATGCCATTAGGGTAAATAATAAAAGGATAAAAAAAGAAATCGGCGTTTTCAATACCCTCTGCGGGCATGCGCCGAACGCACACTACTTCATAGTCGAGGAGGCAACTGTATGCGTGCGAGCCTATTACACTGACTTGCGGGAGTCAGCCGTTTACCAAGTCAGTGCTTTTATCCTCCCCGATTACTCTGGTGCCAATTTACCGGCCCCGGGGGTAGAGGGCTTGGTGGGCCCAGGGGCGGGGATCGAACTTGTGTCCGATCTGGTCATGGCGGCGCCTCTTACCACTACGCCACTCGTCCCCCCCCCCCCTGTAAGGTAAATAGCTTAATTTATTTCCTGTTTTTCGGTCGCGCGTTAGGAGCGCAGTAAGATAGGTTCGTCGCTTAGTATCGGGCGAGCACCAGGCCTCGTATTCCATTTAGGTGCTATGAGCCCACGAAGTCGCCACAGGACATACAAGTCAATTGAAAAATTACCAAGAAACTCGGCTCCACGCCCATTTCTTCAACAATAAGGCTCTTCCCGCCTTGGCGTACGCTTCGGAAACATGGACCATGAGGAAGCAGATCGAATATGGTCACCGAATGAGCTGCTGAGAGAGTGATGTTAGAAGTGTCCCGAGTCATTCAAGTGAGGGAAGGAAAACGAAGTTCCACCCTATGTCAACGATAGAAAATCAGGAATGCTTCAGCATAGGCCAAACAACAATATATGGGCTGGACGTGTGATGTGTTTTGACGATAATCGGTGAAGAAGCTGTAACGAACTGGGTATGCTGGACGGGAATGCATTTTGAATAAGACCGCCCACTCAATGGTGAAAGCATAACTTGGTCCCGCTCGTGTCAAACGATCATCGGGGATATAGGCGACTACTCGAGATAAAAGTCCTCATATTATTCAATTCCGTACCCGTCAACATTATCGCACGCTACTTGGTGCTGCACAGCATACGCAGGTAGTTGGGCTTCCCTGATAGTATGGTGATAGGCACATCATCCATTTCAGAACTCATATGTACATATGTTGATCAAGCTAGATGTACAAAAATAGATAACGTGCATGCGCACACACGTCGTTCAGTTCTGCGCCCTTGTTCTGCCGCCCAAGACTGACCAATCACAGCTGCGGCCTGAATCAGTCAATCAGAGACAAGTCGTTCGTTATAAGCGGTTCAGGGCCGGTCTTTCCCCATCGTGCTGCCGTTGTGCACTGCCTTTCAAGGAGCTTGGCCCACGTTAAAGTGGCCAATTTTTGTGCCGCTACTAGGAGCAGAGCACTATTCAAGGGAGCTGGGCCCAAGGTCAGGGCTAGACTAACCTCCATGTTGCTATTTGAAGCGGAGCACTGTATAGTTCCTGATTTGTCAGACAAACTACAGAATATGAAGGCTTACCAGTCACACGTATAGCCGAAGACGTAAGGGCGACGCCTATGTAATGGAGTTTAACGTCTTCTTTGCTTCTAAATAGAACACAATAGCACTTTATCGAGACAATCAACATGCACGCATAGCTTCCAGTAGAATGGTATTCCTGATAAGCGGAAGAAAGTAAGCTAACATACATGATAATGTACACAAAATCAGCCCGCCTGTACTCGTTCAAGGCTGGCAGTGCCAGAGGCTGCATTTATAGCTCCCCTGACTTTAACAGCAAAAGGCCAGCTAAAGGCAGCAGCCCGGCAAAATCTGGTTTCAAGTGGACGCAGACTTACCTGTCAAACTTTTGGCAGATTCGCATCAGGTCCTGGCCGCACAAAAAAACTACATTAAATCGGCGCCCGAGCGCACGGCACACGCTTTGTTTATTCTGTTTGCCGAGACTATCGGGACAATCTCGCATTCTCTAAACTGACCCGTTCAACGTTACAGCCGGCAAGACTTCCCTCTGATCCCACTTCTGACTGAACTCTCGTAAGCTTCTATTTCAAATGTGCAAAAACCCTATGATTGCGGCCTTTTCACGCGACTCAAGGTTCGCACGCGGTTTCAGGTCGAGAGAAGATCTGACAAGACGCTCCCTTTGGATCGCAATGGAGAAATTCCATGAGGAAAAATTCCATGGAAGCTCATATCAACTCGAAATCATAGAGTATATCCTACCGTGAATTTCCTTATCAGTCTAGTGGAGTCAAACCATATTCCGTCAATACCGAGATCGTTAATTCTTTTCGACAATGCGCACGCATCAGAACTCACTGAAAAGCATAGCAATGAGATGAAGCTACAAAAAAAAACAAATACGAGCATTCATACGTGAAGCATGTCGTTCTAATAGAGGGTATATTGGAGGTTATTGAAAGTTGAGAACAAAATTCAAATAAATCGGATGTGACGGACATCATTAACCTCAGCGATGTCCGTCACATCCGCGCGGACTAGACTACTACTTCATTGTAAATCAGAGTTCGGTGTAACCATTCTAGATTGTTCTTCAGCACGTTGCGCTTAGACGCGGTTCAAATGACAGAGTCTGGTGAGGCATTTGGTCATGTAGACTAAAAGTTGATATAAATGCAATCCCTTTTCAGACCTCCGAAGAAGACGATTGTCGAAACCTAAGGTCAATAATAAAGAACCACCACAACAGGGGCATAATAGCACTATACATATTCAATACAACATGGATATGTTACTAAATGAGGGTACATGGAAAATCTGAATTCAGATGGGCAGCTTTAGAAGCCAGTTTGTACAAGTGTAGCATAGTGTTGTCAACGTGGAGCCCACGTTCATTCCTCAAGATAACAATACCGCTTGCAAGAAAAAGGGTTCCTTCATACTACGCCGCGTACGCCGCTGCAGCGCAATGGAATGTCATTATTTGACTCTGATTTCCTTTTTCTTGTCGGTCTGGTCACTCTGTATCTATTTTAGGGTATGCGGAGCACACGTTAGACTTTCTCACTGACTGCTGGATCATATTTGTCACGCAGCAACTCCTACTTTGAGCATGTGTTTCCTCGATCGCTGTTTTTTCTCCGTCAGCAACGTCAGCAACATCTCGGAGATTATAATTCTTGTCGCAAACAGTAGCAGTGACAAGAGTGGTCCCGTAATCTTCTTGTAGAAATCGTTTTCCCATTTGTCATTGCTCATTATTCATTATGCAGTGTCAGTGACGTACGTAGATGTTATTTCAATTTGGCAGATGTAAATATATTTGAAAGTAAAACGCCTAAAACGCGTAATAGTAAACATCACTTCCACTGAAGCCTACTGTTTTAATTTAGTATCTGAAATTTGAGAATCTGGCTAAGGCCCTTCTATTTTCCTAAAATTGGTCTATGGATAGAATAGCTGCCAGTTGGTCTTGAGAGCTAGGGCCTTCTTTTTGCCGTTTTCTTTGCATTCAATGCCGTAAACTCACCAAATCTACTTGCTCGCTTTTATTTGCACCGCCACATCGTTTCCGAACGTTGTAAACATTCAGTTGCCATCGCTTGGCTGCTTCGTATCAGTGCAATAGGAAAATAGAAGGGCCTTAGCCAGATTCTCAAATTTCAGATACTAAATTAAAACAGTAGGCTTCAGTGGAAGTGATGTTTACTATTACGCGTTTTAAGCGTTTTACTTTCAAATATATTTACATCTCCAAATTGAAATAACATCTACGTACATCACTGACACTGCATAATGAATAATGAGCAATGACAAATGGGGAAAACGATTTCTACAAGAAGATTACGGGACCACTCTTGTCACCGCTACTGTTTGCGACACGAATTATAATCTCCGAGATGTTGCTGACGTTGCTGATGGAGAAAAAACAGCGATCGAGGAAACACATGCTCAAAGTAGGAGTTGCTGCGTGACAAATATGATCCAGCAGTCAGTGAGAAAGTCTAACGTGTGCTCCGCACTCCCTAAAATAGATACAGAGTGACCAGACCGACAAGAAAAAGGAAATCAGAGTCAAATAATGACATTCCATCGCGCTGCAGCGGCGTACGCCGCGTACGCTGCTTGCGCGGCGCGCGCGGCGTAGTATGAAGGAACCCAAACTAACTGACGGACACAACTCTGAAGGCACCTTTCCATAAAAGAAGCTAACTGAAGACACAAGGAGAGTGAAGGATAGACATTTCCAAAAATAATTCGTCAAACACTCACTGAATGCAATCGCGTCCTGATCGAATCCGCAGTTTGTGAACGAGATTGTGTGAACATTTTTGAATCTATCACTGATAAGTCGGAGTAAGTCGGACGTCACTATGAGCTAAGCAAAGGGGAGAAGAATAAATTACAATACTAGGCCAGAAACAAAATCAAACCTGGTGATTTTGGACTCCTCTACTTCTGCTGTCCGAATCAGTGCCTCCTAATCTGATTGTTCGTATTTCTGGAGCAAATCTCTCCGCCATTCCGTATAAAGCATTCACTAAAAAGCAGTATTTGACAAGATCTACAAGCCGCTAAATAAGAACTCACTTAACTTCGCAGGCTGGGTATTTCTGGGACTGTCCCTCCTTATCCTGCTCTCCATAGTGGTAGAAGGTAATGCAATGTATAACTCACCAATTTCCACCGACACATAGTCGTTGAAGGTCTAAAAATACGGGTTTCAAAAGATAAAAGGAACGGAACACATTGTAAAAATCGACATATTGAATTCAAATACCTTGTATGTCAAAGACAAGGTGTGACCTCCTGATTTGAAACGCCAGAGCGATGTTCTGCTCAACATTCGAAATCTTGACGAGGCCAGTTCAACATTTGTGCGATCCTAAACTTCATTTGATTTAATGGAAAACTGCAGTGCAACATGAAAACAGCACTGGAACTTTGAACAATAACACCCACATTTATGTCTGTTATAAAGCTTATGATATGCCGCATGAGTAAGTCATTGTTGTAAACCATTGCAATGGCTCTCTCATTTTTGACATTGTTCGCATCATTATCGTTTCTTCGCGGCCTCCTTTGTCGAAAGGAGCCTAAAAATCTTTTTTCTTCAAAAGTGTGGCGGACGAATACCCAAAATGCGCATTATGCAACCATATGCACTACATAAATTGTTAATAACTCGCCTTGGTCGCCAAAGTCAACACTAACAAACAAGCAGTTGATCTGAGGTGGCTCGATACCTCCACTTTTCTCGGCTTCGCTCATAAAAGCTGAAACCAGCAAACTTAAATCAAACACAATATTAACTTGAGAAATCGATGGCAATTCAAAAAAATTACATTTGGTCAGCTGATGGCAAAATAGGGGTCTGATAGTCGGAATGCATCCATTGAGATAGGAAAGTGCTCTTGTACCGAATTCAAAATATCCAAAAATCGAGTTCGCACTGTCATAAACACATATTGCTATCGACACTTTCCGATTGTCGATTTGTTCAACACGTGCTACTACGAAATGATCAAAGATGATATATTTCACTGCTTGGTATATATACGGTTGAGTAAAGTAAAGCGCGGCTCATGGTAAACAAAGAATCTTTTCAACATTCTAAGTGGTTGGATAGATTCTTTGCACACGAAAGAAGTCTGGCGATGGGCCAATCTTGCACCCATTCTTACTATGTGTTTCTCGAACAAGATAGAAGAGCCCTGTCGAACATTTCCCCCTGCTGTCTATCGCTATATCGATGACTGCTGCACTTCACGTCGACACACTCCGAAACGGATGAATGCTTCAAGATTCCAATGGAAAAGGTGTACCTCAGCTTAACTAGGGAAAAGCCGTACGAAGCTGGATTCTATTTCACAAAGGTGATGCTGACCAGTGGCACATATACAGGGTGTCCCAAAAGTCTTTGAGCCTAGTATTTCCTCCGCTGAAAATGCATGAAGCAACATAGAAGCATGAAATTCAGGAGGGAATTTGCGAAGAGCCTACAAAATAACATGATACACTCAAATTTCTGAAATCCCTCCTTTGGCCTTCACACAGGCTCTCAGACACTTGCGTAATGCATGCACCATGGCAGCCAGGTAGTTGACATCGAGTTTGTCTTACATCTTCTGAAGCAAACAATCCAGACTGTCCAAAATTTAGCATGAATTAGAGCAAACCTTGTTTTCCATTACTGATCACAAATAAAAGTCAAGGGCCTTTTGACCCGGCTATTGAAGGGACGTAAATCTGAGAAGCATAACTGTGAGCTTTGACAAAAGTGTCAAAATGTAGCATTCAAGTATTTGAGAATACCAAGAAAACAGCAATTATGGTGTACCGGGAGTGACTTTAAAATGGAATTTCAGTAGGAAATGCAGGGCTTACAGCTAGAATTAGTGACTGCAGCTGATTCGGTGCTGGACTTTCCAGCTTTTCCAGGTTTTTGTTTCCGAGAACTTTTCTTTCTCATTGGCACGGCACAACTTCAGTGTATGTATCCTAATCCTACTCTAATGAACGAAGGCTATCGATTGGTTTTGCACTGCAAATGTAGAGTGAAGCTAGCTCTACAATATGCAGTTTGAAAGTCCACAGGAGCTCCAAAGACAAAAGAGCTGTAAATATTTGAATAGGGGGTGCGTTTCCTTCGGCTTGTCTTCACGATTGTAGTATTCTTCGCTTCAAGAAGTATATCTTGAGAATGTACAATACAAACGGTATCATTCTCTTGAATAATATTGGCAACTAGACGAAGTACTCAAAGGCAAAATTTGGCTGAAAAGCGAGGAATACTAACAAAGTTACTACGTTGAAAATTTAGGCTTAAGGACTTTTGGGACACCCTGTATGTTAAGCGATATCGAAGAGAGAGGTGAAGAACATCATACTACTGCGACCTCCGCTCATTCAACTGCCGTGAAACGCGCGATAATTCGCAACATGTTTGGAACAGCAAGAAGTGTTTGCAGCTGTAAAAATATGATCGACTAGTGCATATACGATACAATTCCTGATAATGGCTACTTTAACCCCCAACTTCCAGACGAAAATCTGTAATAGCAGCCAGATTTGAACTTAATTTCCTTGGCGTCTGCCATTCATATCGGACAGGTTATCAATGCGTAAAACAATGTGTAGTGTGCAAGCACAGTATCAAAATGATGTTGTCAGGGACAATCCCACTGAACAAATCAAAAAGCATAGTTCGTAACAGGTTGTGTGATAGAGCCTGTACTGCGCATAACTGCGTCGTGTGTCCAGAAAGCCCCGGAAACTGCTCATTAGCATAGTAGCGTATCAACTAAAGTGTCAGATCTGCCACGCCATCTACATGAGAGAAACGCTCGTCCGCTTATTGTACGTATAGATAACATTTGGCTGGTAAAAGAAGGCAGAGCCTCGTTAGTCCACCGATAGAAGAGAGGTATTACGATGCAAGATGTTACAAATAAAATGTATAGTGCTGCGATTGAAGAGCATATCTCGGCTCGAGAAGTCTTGGGGGCGCATATATTCTTGCACTAACATTAAAATCAACAGCAAGAACAAACAATCGTCCCTCACGAATGACTTAAAGCCTTTTTGCCAAACTGGTAGCTATAATGGCCTAAGTCCGTCCTGAATCTCCTGGGAAATATCCCAGGAGTATACTTATTGTCATCATCAACTCTAGGCGCCCGGGCGTACTAAACTACGTCCTATAGAGCTGTCCTCAGGGATCGTTCATACCGCGCACAAAGGCGGACGAAGGCGGACAAAGCCGGACGAAGGCGGACGAAGCCGGACAAAGGCTTCGTCCGGCTTCGTCCGCCTTCATCCGCCTTTGTGCGCGGTATGAACGATCCCTCACCTTAAATTCACAGTAAGAGAAAATCGCCGTAGCTCTTTTTACTGTAAGATTATGGTAAAACCTCTAGCTTACAGCGTCATTGTGGAGCATCCGTTTTTTGAAGAAAAAAATTCCAAAAATTCTAGAAAGTAGTTAGTTGTAAACAAGACCACCTGATTTTTTACAAGTTTGTGAGGTTAAATAGTGTAATCACAATTTTAGGTTACATGGCAAAGATAGCTACTGCGGTTTACTTGGCGAAACTTATTGATGAAGCTTTTGCAAAGTTCATATTCAGTAAGACACAATCTGTAGGCCAATAACAGAGATAAGACTCTAATTAGCCTGCACAAATTTCAAGCTGTTTAGCTTGCATTCCAAGACAAAATGTGGCCCTCAGTGGCTCACAAACTCGCCGGAATTCCCACTGTAATCACAATGATGAAGAGCGACCTGGTTCGTTCTTGGTAGGTCGCATGATCTAATCAGTATGCGGCCAAAGCTATATAAGGAAGGCATACAAAACTCGCCAAAAACATGAAATTAACAATGCAACAATGAAGAAAAAAAAGTAAACATACCTAAACCTCCTTAATGGTAGGAACTGTAGCTCTGAGCGCAGTAATTCAAAATTACGATTTCCACTCAGCTTTCACAGACGGCCGTCATATGCAGGTACATATGGACTGGAATACACATGATCGCTGATCGTTTCTCGTGGGCCGTAAATCGAACAAACAAAAGAGGGGATTGACTCACCACTGCAATGACGACAAAGAATCAGCACTTCAGACGATCTATAGATCGTCTGAAGCAAGCACTCAAAAAGCAAACCCGAGTATAACTATTCTGAAACGATAACAACTGAATGAGCTCCATTACTACATATGATTCATCTGAGACTAGGATGAGACGCTGTTGCAACACATTGTGTAACAAGCTCATATCATTCATTGTCTGAGTAAGAGACACGAGCAGTTCCGTGTACCTAAGTCTGATTAAAAGTTCATGAATGTTTTCTAACGCGTTCTGAAAGGTATGTCACTGAAAATTATGTAAGAATGTGTTCGCTCTCATTGAAAAAATGCGATTTCGAACTTGTTTGTTCACAAATTCGAAACAGTAATTAATAAAACGCATTGAAAAACATTCATAAACTTGTTTCAGGCATATGCAAATAGTGCTGTCTCCTAGGCCTCTAACAGAGTTCACGCGCTACTCAAAATGCTAATTAACTGTATGTACGAAATCAATTCACTAAGATAGGTACCGGCCAGACTTCGCCCGAAAGAGCCCAAAAGCGTCCAAAACGCCAAAAAGCGCTCAAATTCCTCTAACCTCTTTTCACCTTCTCTCACCTCTCCCCACATTAGAAAGTGAACAGACAATAGGGAAATTTGGGCGCTCTTGAGCGCTTTTGAGTGCAGTCTGCCGGGCTTTAGAAGGGGCCATGATTAAAAATCAATACTTCTCTTCAGAACAACCAACAAGGCACGATTGAAGTCAAGAATAGTACGTTTGCAGTGAGAGGAGTAGGAAGTTCGAAAGCAGAGTAAAACACTGCACATAGCGAGTTTATATATCAAAGAATTGAAAACATGATAAGAGCTATTTTCAGTTTTTTACGATGTCACAATCCACCACCACGGTAACGGAAGACAACAATGCGGAAAGATTCATCGCAACAGCTGTTTGTCACATTTCTAGATAATTCGTTTACGAGAGACTGCGAAATCACCGCCGATCGTGATCGCGCCGTACGGCATAAACGAACTTTGATAGGAGCACGTTTTCTCAGTCCGATGGCAGATTGATAATGTGGAAGAAACTAAAGCTTGAACTTCCTTTTTGCAATCGTGTTTTTTCTCAATGTATCCTACTCGATTACAACGATGGCAAACACAATGCACTTGTGAAGTTTGAACAATTATGCGCAACATGAATCGTTTGGAACCCTAATCTATGCCGACGGTGCACTTTTTATGAAAACTTTTCCGTGTTATTTGTTTCTATTAGACAAAGTATGTATAATATGTTAGAGGCAATAAATCTGGCATTTAAAAGCAGCGTCCAGGCAAATAGACCTAAGGGGTTACGTGGAAAGTAATTTTGGGACCCTAACTGAAGCACTGCCCAACCGGCAGCTCAGGTAGTGCTTTAACGGCTGAGATATTCCCCTCGAAAGTGGACCCCAGGATCGTTCGCATGGAATGGCGCAACGCGTGGGTCCTCGCGCGAAACTGATGGGTTGCGCCATTAGGTACATGCGAAATATGATCCTGGGCAGTTGCGAGGGGAATATCTTAGCCATTAGGGATCGTTCAGACCGCGCACAAAGGCGCACAAGCGCATGAAGGCGCACGAAGGTGCACTTTTGAATTCGATCGATAATGAAGACAAACATACGGGGCCTTTGTGCGCCTTCGTGCGCCGCCATGCGCTTTCATGCGCCTTCATGCGCTTTCATGCGCTTTCGTCCGCCTTTGTGCGCGGTATGAACGATCCCTTAGAGCACTATCTGAACTGCCGGTTGGGCAGTGGCTTAGATAAGGACCCAAAATTACTTTGTTGTGAGATACCCATATGTCCAGATTTGCCTGGACGCTGCTTCTAGAAAAGATCTTCCCAACACTTTCTCTGCAAGAGGAGGGGGAGGGTGGAGAATTAATCTTGCAAACAGCACTTATTTCTTAAGGATTAAGCTGAAATGCAAAGAATCTGTTTCATGGTTGCACTGCCGTCAGCGCAACGATGAAACAGATACTGCAGCGGTCCTGGGAAAATGGAGTTGTTGTTTGTATAAATCATGTTTGCTGTCAACTGCAACGTCTCAATGAGATGAATTTTATCTTCAGTTCATAATTCAGCTACTTACAGATGTTCCGACGAGACTTCTCTCAGGACTTCGAAGGTGTAAAAGACCCTCTCATGGAGGCTATTGCGTCTCAAGTAGATCCACAAACTGTGATAAACATTATCGAAACCCAAAGAAAGAGGTGAGTGCCGTGGGTAACATATTCTAATCAAACACTCAAATATTATAGCCTTCGTCGTTTTGAGAAGACCAACGAAATGCTAACAAACTGTACACAGCTGAGTGAACGACGCCTAGAAAGAGCTAGAAAAGATGCAGCTATTCACAAAGAGACAATTATGCAGGTGATGCACTATAATATATAAGAACCAGTTCATCGATCAGATAATTCAGTGAAATGTCTCATTCCAGATGAAAGCGGACCTAGAGTTTATTTTCAAGAAAATTCGATTGTTCAAGAGCACTCTATCAGCAGCGTATCCACAAGTATACAATGAAGGTATAATCCCTCGACTACACAGTCTCTGACAATTTTATTATGTTTTCAGTGGAAAAACAATGCAAGGCGCAATTTTCGGAAGAGAAGGATGAAGAATAAATAAATCAACAGATAACTAGACTCAACAATTTGGCCGCAGTAGATATTTTTCAATGCTTTTTCTTTTTGGATTTATCCTCATCAGAAGACGAAGTGCTTGAATGTCTACGTTTTCTTTTACTTTTCTTATGACGCTGATGAGAGTGAGATTCTTCACTGTCGGATGACGAACTGCTGAAAAACAAAATAAAACCATCGCAGAGATGACATGACCATGAACATAGGTGCGAAGGGTTGAGAAAAATCTCATCCCCCCTTCACTTTGGAGCCTGGATTACCCCCCCCCCCCCCCTTCACTTTGGACGGAGGAAGAAAATTTTTTGAGGTGAGATGATAGTGTGCTTGAAGTGGAGTACAATTTAAGGTAAAAGAGTTTATTTACAGAGTAGGGAATGAGAATGCGGGAAAGGAAGCAAAAATCGGGACCGGACCCCCCTCACTGGGACGAAGCAGGTGCTAAGATGAGTTAGTTAGATTAAAGTACTCTGCGTTGATACCACTGCTTCAATTTTAGGCATTCCATGGGACGAGCAGTAATGAGTCGGCATGGAAGGGCGCATGGTCATGAAACGAATGGCTGGAGGGAGCCTTCACGTGGGCTTGTTGGACGAGACTCTGAAAAAGACAGTTTGTGGTTGTAATGTGGATATAAATTGAATAATTTGCCATCGTATTGTGTGTATAAGGATAAACAATAAATGGAAATGTTGTACACAATCGAATTTGTATATACTGAGTGAAGGCAGGAAGATAATCAGAATAGGGAAGGTAAGATATCGGAGTTTGATGATCAAAAGAGAGAGCTGCTGGAAATAAGTTCTATAAAGGTAGAGGGAGAAGGTAAGTCAGGTATTAGGTACTCAGGTAGGTATCTGATGTAAGCTGATAAGGAGAAGCAGGTTTGAGTTTCCAACTATACCCCCCCTTCGAGCCAAAAAATTTCCATATCTCGGTGAGGGGGTCATCTCATGATCTAGTTTCCTTTTCATCTTGTAAGGGAGAGTGTGCTTGAGATAACTAGGGCTGTCGCAAAAGGATCTGCTTTAAGGAAGGAGAGCAACGGCACCAAGTTGAAGACGCATAAATTTGTGCGTAAAATTCAAGCTTCAGAAGTTCTGCTTCAGCAGATTCTTTTGCGACAGCCCTAGTTATCTCAAGCACACTCTCCCTTACAAGATGAAAAGGAAACTAGATCATGAGATGACCCCCTCACCGAGATATGGAAATTTTTTGGCTCGAAGGGGGGGGGGGTATAGTTGGAAACTCAAACCTGCTTCTCCTTATCAGCTTACATCAGATACCTACCTGAGTACCTAATACCTGACTTACCTTCTCCCTCTACCTTTATAGAACTTATTTCCAGCAGCTCTCTCTTTTGATCATCAAACTCCGATATCTTACCTTCCCTATTCTGATTATCTTCCTGCCTTCACTCAGTATATACAAATTCGATTGTGTACAACATTTCCATTTATTGTTTATCCTTATACACACAATACGATGGCAAATTATTCAATTTATATCCACATTACAACCACAAACTGTCTTTTTCAGAGTCTCGTCCAACAAGCCCACGTGAAGGCTCCCTCCAGCCATTCGTTTCATGACCATGCGCCCTTCCATGCCGACTCATTACTGCTCGTCCCATGAAATTCCTGAAATTGGATTTTTCAGCTACGATATCTCTCAACTTTAAACTAACTAACTCACCTTAGCACCTGCTTCGTCCCAGTGAGGGGGGTCCGGTCCCGATTTTTGCCCTGTTTCCCGCATTATGGTACATGATAATGAAATGATATTTATCAAAAAAGTACTCGAAAACATTTTACTAACTATATTAAAATTTATACAAATAAATTTGGAAAACTCAAAATCAAAAAAAAATTGGAAAATTGTTAGAATTGAAGTTTGAAAAAATTAAAGTTAAAAAATTGAAAATTTATTTTTTTCAATTCCCCCCCCCCCCCGGTCGACGTCGGTAATTTTTGGACCCCCTTCACTTTTGAGGGTCAGAAACTCCCGAGACCCCCTTCACTTTGGAGGGTACCCATCTCAGGCCTTCGCACCTATGACCATGAAAGCAAAGATCTCAACCTGCTACTGTGCTTCCGATGTTTCTTTTTCTTCTTTTTATCCTTTTTGTCTTTCTTCTTCTTATGTTTGTGCTTGTGTTTCTTCTTCTTTTCAACTGAAATATGCACTCACTCGGACAAAGTGATTAGCCTATAACATTTCTTGCCTAAGGGTGTTTCCCCATCCGTTGTTTCACTACTGGTGGAACTGATATCGATCACAGTTTGTTGACCAGGTTTAAGTTGTATGTAATTTCTGCACTGAATATATCCATGTATACCTGTGAATAAAACTGAGTATCACACGATTTACCTGAAACGGTAAATGTCCAGGGTAACCACACTTCCGACATGCACCAGTCACTGTTTGCCTTACTTTGGCTAAGCCCGAAACGTCTGTAATCAATTTACGACTTTGTTGCTACGAACACATACAAGGTAGGAGTGATATCGAACCATTGATAGGAGGATAGTTTTAGCCACCAGCGAGACTTCGCTCAAAGGCACCGTCCACCCAGATTCTCGTCTTCCAGGTATTTGTCGTTTCAGGGCCTTCTCATGTCCCTGACTCCGAATATGAAATCGAGAATCCGCGAAAACCCCGACAATCCCCGTTCCGGAGAACCCACAGGTCGGCTTTCCGGAACGGTGATTGGATGGGCGCGCACAAATGGACGGACATGAATGGGGAGGGCGGGCATGGATGTGGGTCCTCGTGCATCTTCGTTATTCCGGAGCAATTTTCTTGCTTCGGAAACGACATTTTGCACTGCGACTTGGGCATCGGCTTGATAGGAGGCCCTACTATCATATGCTGCCAAAAGCTCAAAACCCTCAACTTAGGGTGGACGATGCCTTCAAAAGCATGCAAGCCCAAATTTCTTTAACCTCTCTTTTTCCACCACTACTTTCCCTGCTAACGTGCTGGCGCTTTTGAGCTGGTGCGGAACGTATGTGACAATAGAAGAGAGAAGTGCAAAGAGATCGAGGAAATTTTTGCGCTTTTGAGCGGAGTCTGACTGGTGTCATAATGTCAAAATAGAAAAAACACTCATTTTTAGAATGATAAACTGCAAACTTGTAATGTGGAAATGGAAAAGGATAATGATGATACCAAACTAACCAACGAAAGCGTCTTCATCCTGCGGCGCTGCCACAGTTGCTGCTAGTTCTGCTAATGTACGGCTACTGCTGACTGATGATCCTGGCCCTCCGAACGCTCGCCTGTACGGCATGGGCTCCATGTTTGAACCAGACATGGCCTTAAAATGGCCTAAAATAAACCCATCAATTAATGACGCAGTGTGAGTTGCGCAGCGACATAAAGACCGACATACACACTGTCACATTTTTCGCTGAGTTAGTAACAAGGTTTCGTTATGAATAAACAAGAAACTGATTTCGATTACTTTATGAAGTGGTCATCTAGAATAAGATATGCACACTGGACAGATGCGACATAAAAAACTGATTGCAAATCGGTCTTATAGCTGAAAACACTTCGAGAAGCTTCAATACTTTTTGGAGCCAGCCTTCGTGGGTAAAATCACAGCAAAATTTTTAACTTCAAATTCATATAGTAAATATGTACTAGAGCCTAAAATACCGAGAGCAGCAATCAAATACTATAGCCGCATTCATCACGTTATACTGATAATAATTTGGAGCTAACCATAACTTTCCTGAAAGCCTAAGCAAAACCTTTAAATCATTTCGGGAATTTAAATGATTTTGATCAGCCTTCTAGACCACATATCTCATTGCAAAAGCCATCTCGACTACTACCTTTCCAAAAAAAAAAACAGATCGTGGAAATATGAAGAGATAGACGTTACATGTAGAAAATGCACCCACAGTTATCTTTTCCAAAATTGTTTGCTCGATGTCGCAGGTAGTAAGCGTGCAACACACTAAATCATGCAGATCGAAGTAGTCTCAAGGTGATATGAGAGTAGAAGGAAAAAGAATTGCGAATTGCAATGCCTTATAGAAAGAAGCAGCACGTACCAGATGTTTGAAATGTTGTGTAGTTGCGGCGTTTGTCATACTTTGACGGATAATAAATCTAACATCCACTTCCGTGCAACTTTTGCTACAGAGGATTGGCGGCTCTTTTCTAAACTAGAGTTTTCGGGATTTTAGTCAACTAATATTATCTCACTTATCACTATTCGAATGAGATTTCTCGGAATCGCGAAGTCATAGGGTCGCCGACGGAATTTCCAGAAGTAGCGCACGGATTCCGCAAATTACTCACGATAGGATCTTGGATCGAGATGTTTTGCTCTGCCTACAATCGTCGCTATCCCATCTTATACAACCCAGAAACTGGAAATCACTCGCTTTTGATTTTGCTGAGAATTCGCCTGGGGGGGGGGTGTTCGACCTGTTTGTCACGAAAATGGTTTCATTTTGCAAGGTGGGGCTTTTTCAAGGGGGATACGGTAGGTAGACGGTCTGGGGTCAAAATGAATGTAAAATCTTAGATGCTAAAACTTCTGATAGAAGAGCTATTCGAATACGGATTACAAGCATCACACTTTCTCCGCGGGAGGAAGTCTCTGAGTAGGGTTGCGGTAGTGTACGCTAGAGCTCATGATCTAGATTTGGGTGGAATTTGGTCTAGAGGGGTTATTCGACATACTGATGACGATCATCGTAATCTTCTTGCATTCTGAGATCTGTAGAGGTCTGGTTATATGATAAGAGTCAAATCATCGTTTGATCTTGCTCCTAATTTCTTGCTATTTGAGTGATCGCTGGAATACAAAAATCTTCCAACTCCGACTGTTCTTTAATCTTGGCATAGATATGAACCGTAGCAGGGTGTTGAGCAACACGACCAAGATGGCAATTTCTCCTTTAACTTCGGCCAACGTTTCGGCGCAATCGCCTTCGTCAGAGCCTAGAAAGTCGAATACATAAGGATCTCTTCCCTCAGACGTCAATGAAGAAGCAAGACAATTCAGTTAAAAGCTAGTACGAAGGAAAGAACCAGAGCCACAGCAAAGCAATACTCACCTTAATCGTTGCATAGGGGATACGAGGGACCACCAACTATGCAATAACTATACCTCTGCCCTATTTATAGTAATGAGGTGACCTGACCTAGCCTCAGAAACCGCAAAGGGCCTGATATGGCGCGAGTTCGTTAGTTATTGCAATACACTCCTCCTTTCGGTTCATTTTTGGATTTTTAGCGCTGATCCAAAACGCTTCCAAAGTCTTGCGCGATAGGACTTCGGGTTCCTAGGACAAAATCGAGGCTCCAATTTGTATTTCAGCATTTTCGTGTTGCAGTAAGCGATGACTACCGAGCGGTGTACTGGTCCTTGACTTGTTCAGTCCATCTAGATGTTCCTTTATGCGGCAGCAAAGCGGGCGCCCAGTTTCGCCTATGTACGTGTCGCCACATGATAAACATGTGATAATGTATATCACGCCTGCCACCATACAATCCCCCTCTTTACCGAATGGACAAACTACACAGCCTGGAGTCAAGCAACTCCGATCATACGCTCTATTCCTGACCAATTGCCTCTTAAGGTTGGGCGGCGGAATATCGACAGCTGTAAAAAACGTTGGCCGAAGTTAATAAAGAGAAATTGCCATCTTGGTCGTGTTGCTCAACACCCTGCTACGGAATACAAAAAGTTTACGTGCTATTTTCGGAATATGGGATATTAGTCGAGCCTCATGATCGCTATATTCCAAGATCTCTTACAAGTTCAGGACTGGAGAGGCACAGAATCTTGTCGAGACGCAGAGTAATTAGAGTCCGACAGTCCCCTCGCCGACTTGGGCGGTGCCACCAACTTCAGATGAGCTGGCACTCCCCGGGTGCTCGGTGGTCCCCTCCCCAATTATGTTCCCCCACATTTATATTTATGTTATAATGATAAAAGAATCTAGTCAGAATTGTTATGTTAGTACAAAGGGAAGAAACTAAGGGTAGAGGGATCAAGTTACGAGAGTAATTAACTCGTTAGACTTGACAATCTGCATAATCCTCAAAAGTGTCTTTAATTTTTTCACTTGTCTTCTAGCACATCACACAAACAGGAAAATTTCTATGTTATTATTTTATTTTGCAATCAGCGTAAGAAGGGAAAAATGATTCAAAGAGATTATGAATTCTGAGTTCGCTCAAGCAGAGTGAGAGAGAAAGAGGAGAGAGAGATTCTCATAAAAGTAACTCCAGCACCAATACCCATAATGAATGATCAACAGCTAACACTACAATTCAAAACAAACCCGATTGCCAGGAAATGCACAATGAAAATGAAAAATACAAAAATCAACAAATCGATGGAGCAGGGAGCCACAACGGCATCAATCGTACTACACATCTTCTTACTCCTTAAATAACTTTTCTTCTCCGAGTGAAAAAATGCACAAAGCTGTGAGTGTCTTGAGGATAGAGGACAGTTAAAGGAATAATTTATTTCTGAATGATGCATTCAAAGCAATTTTACGGCCTCACTCAATTGAATTTTCTGAATAATCATGAGTCGCATTTAACTCTTGATCTTCTTAAAGCTCACGATTAAGATTTAACGTCTCAGAATGATACGGCGTGATTTTTCTGACGTTACCGTTCCAGTTTCCCCAAAAAAAAGAATCGTGTCAGTGAAGAGCAATACTCTTGAATTGTTCAGATCGGGTGATGTGCTCCGGGAGGAGCAAATATACTGTAGTGCGGAACACCAGCTGGTGAAGCAGGGCCTAAGGAAGGTACTGGTGGGACTTGTACAACAGGTAGAGCCTTTGGCGGTGGAACCTAGAACAACTTGTATACGAAGCAGAAAAAAACACGCATTCGTTTCACCTGCTCCATTTCCACATCTGCACCTTCGAAAGGTTTCGGAATTATTCTCTCACGCAATTTATTATATTCCTCGATAAAGTCCATATCAGGGTGATTTGCGCTTTTGAAGAACTAAAAAGATGACAACGAATGCATAAGCGACTGAGCAGAATTTTAGTGAATAAACAAGAAAAACTGTCACCTCAACGTCAAAATCCCTCATTATCGTCATGCAGTGTGGTTGTCCCCAAATAAATCCTATTTGGCTAATCAACTTGTATAGCTGATATTTCACGCATCGGTCCGCCTGAAAACAACTAATGAGCTTTGACCAAGTGCTCTGGAAATAAAAGAAAGGAGTGAGGTAGGTATGTACCAGCAAGTTTTTCAGCAAAAGTTTGTCAATTATTGCGGCATAAATAGTGGGTTCAGCAAGTGCGGCTTCATACTGATTGGAGTATATTAGGCGATGAAATATCAGATGACACCAAACTCCCGAGCATACGATCTGAACTAAATATTTTGTCAAAAACCTGCTAAATGCCTGGAAAATTCAACTCACATTATCGCGTAGCAAGGGAAGCACCTCAACGTACCGAGCCAACCCACGCAAATCACCTATTCTCTTTTTGCTAGGAAGCATATCCAAACAGCAGTGGTACCAGAGAAGAGCTGCTAACCGACTTGCCTAGAGAAAGGGGTTAAAAGGGTTTGAATCGCGTCTTCACTCTTGCGGTACTACCTTCAGAAAAGTTATAATCTGTTCCGATGGCTTTGTTAGAAGGTTGCTGACATCGAGTTCTTCTTCATCTTCTGTAACGAGCGATCAATGAAAGAATGAATATTTATAACATTAGAACTAGATATGCATAGAACTGATGTACAATACACTTTCAGAGCAAAGATCGTCTCACTTTTGTTGCGCAACATTTCTGCTCTGGTGCAGTCTTCGACCATAAGCGCTTGAAACTCAGGCAGAAACCTGTTCACAAATACCAAGTCAAAAATCTCATTCGGTTGTATCTTCTTGGAGACCAAGTCCTAACAAAAAATCGTAAACAAAAATTTCTAGAGCAAAATAAATGAATCCAGCAGACTTGCCTTGGCTGCGCATCCAAATGATAATACTCTCATCATCACTACAACAGATGGCATGTCGCGAGGAAGATGAGTTCCACCCTAAAATGACCGAAGCATGAAAGGCGCAGATGATGGTAAGCATGTCATGCTTCCTTACCGAGTCACGTAACTTCTTCACTGCCAAAGAGCAAAAGAAGTGAGTTACATGGACATCGCCAGCTATCATGGCCAAATCAACAATGCTCTAAAAAAAGTGTTAATAATTCAGAGACAGATTTTGTTGGTCAAGCAACCTCGATCGGAGACTTCAAAAACGCATCCAACATATGCCTCAATCTTGCCGTTTGGTGACTTTCAAGGTGTTTATCTCTCATACATGCTTCCAAGCACCAAGCAAAATCGTGGCATGGGTCTGCAAAGAAGTCTGAGTAAAGATGTATTGAATCTACATTGACGGCACAACTTACCCGATTTGACTAAGCTCTCAATACCAGCATCGTGTGCAGCCATAATCAATTCATATCTGCAGTAGACAATTATACGAAACTGCTAAAAACAACAAGAACAAATACCTCAATGAACAGAGCATTGAGTCACCAGTACTAGCGAAAAGTTCTCTTATATAGGTTGTCATCGACTTGAACAACTCTTCGTGAGTACCACAAGACTGAACCAAATCTAAAATTTGAAAGATGATATTATTCTAAAGCCTGAAAAAACTTGGGGTTCTCTCAAATTCGCCTGAAGAAAAGTTTAGCTCCAAGCGTTTTCGATAGCGATAACAAAACCGGTTGAGAATAGTAAAGTGTATATTTGACAATTATATAAAATTGTATGGGATAAAGATTAAAAAACACCTTTGATCTCTTTCCACTGACGGCGTGCCTTGGTTGTTTCGAAAGTGAAAAAGTTGGTATTTGATGGTTCCACTGACAGAAGAAGGTCTTGCTTTCGTCTGAACAGAGTGAATCGAAAAAAAACAATGAAAAAATATGAAAAAAAAAACAAACAGTTTTAATCGCTTCAAGATTTAGTCGGCAAACAAAAGGAAAACTGGATAGATCCAGCTGTGAAATCGACAAAACTTACTTCAAATACGATTCTATAAGTGGACTGAAAGCTTCAACGAATAGATCATTGTTGCGCAACCAGATCTGCTGTTGTACAGTCAATGGGCACGCATCATAGAAATTTCTGTCTTTCATGATAGTATCAAGATACCTGGAAACAAATTTGTTACCCATAGTACAATTTTGGCAAAGTCATCCATACTTGTCAGGTATCTTGGGCAACTGTTTGAGATTTTCTAGCACGATATCGCGAAACTGTGGAAGAGGAAACATTTCAAAGCACTTTTCCAGCTGATCCTCCAACTTCTTTATTGACTCGGGAGAGCCATTTTCACCAAGCGCACGAATACGAGCGACCACACGCTCGGAAAGATCGAAAGCAGCCTGAAAAATCACATTCGATTTGGAAAAAAGCAGGTGATTGTATCTAGATATGTAAGAACTGCTTTGTTAAAAGGAGGCCTTGGTCTACTGCATCCAAATAAAACTCTGTGAAACTATCAACAATATGACTTTTTATTAGGTCCTATGTCATATCAAGGAAAAGCTGAATGGCGCAAAATCGAATTAGAAAGATCAACTTCTACAATTCTCAAGATTTTTGCGAGCAGTAGTGAGTTGTTGGCTTCAATATAGAATAACAGATCAATCGGTTACCTGCTCATATAAGTCCTTCCGTTTCACTTTGTGAAGATCGAGAAGTTGAAGCGCTGGCGGGAGTGTATCCATCGAAACATTACTTGGTTACCGAGCTGACTTTGCAATGAGATTGTCTCACTAACTTTGATGCCATTTTCATCTTGAAATCTCTTGACGGCATTGATCAGAGTGTTTACCTTCCGCGTTTTCAACAGGGTTTGTCTCAACTTCGCTGACCCCAACAAAGGATGATTCTCTAGTGGTCTAGCTGGTCCTGACGCCATCTTGGCTCCTTTCTGAAAAGCTGCGTCAAAAAAAATGATTATCCACCAGAAGGGTAAAGACACTGAGGAGAGGAAACAAAAGCTGGTCAAAACACAAAAAGCCAGCGTGGCAGAAAACAAGACTACAGAAATTTCAACCAACCTTACAGTGACACCTTCAGATATGCTTTGCAGAAGGAAAACAAGCACTAAATAACATTAAATTTCAACAAGAAAAGCTTTCTATACAAACGCTGCAGAGCAAGCAGCAGTACAAATTTCGTGCTCTGCCGCCGTTTTCTGACAGAATTTTGTCGCAGTAGAGCACAAATTAGCGTAGTAGCACGTCATTTCGCACATGATTTTCTTTGCTTTTCATGGGGTGTATGTATACAAGTTCCTGCTGTTGATCTTTTAACTTCCATTCTTTGTTTATTGAAACTGAATAACTTCAATTTTGTAGAATTGCGCATGCGATGTTATATGACCTTGTGGATCCGGCCCTCGAGCTGTCTGATCCGTGTCCGGACATTCACATGCTGTTCATCGACTTCAATGATCGTTTTTTCGAAGGCGCATTGTCCAGATGTGAAGTGAAATGGAGTCCAAGAATGTATTCGTGAGTTGCTGGTGTCAAGCTTTCGAACGCCTGGTTTTTCACAAAAACACTAGCAAACTTTGATATCTTAGCGTCTTACAGATGTGCTGGTGTCTGTTCATACGAAGGCCGGAGTGGAATGTGTTCAGTTCGCTTGAGTTTACCGCTTCTGAAGTTGAGGCCTCGAAAGGATCTTGTTGAAACACTGCTGGTAAGTAAGATTTGACTATCGATTGTTCTCACCGCTTTTTCAGTTCTTTACGAAAGTAAACCTTAAACTTTTTCTGTGGTCTATGGCTTTAAAAAATTCTTTGACTTCACCGTTTTCGCACGGCCGTATTCATCAACGAACCCCGAGGGTTAAACTAACCCTGGAGGGTTAGTTTAACCCTGGAAAGCGTTTAACCCGTATTCATGAAACACAGGGTAGGCTTAAATCTGAGGGTTAAAGCTAACCTTGAGGGTTAATTTTACCCCGAAAGCGACTAACCTGTATTCATCAACGAACCGTGAGGGTTAAACTAACCCTGGAGGGTTAAACTTACGTGATTCATCAGGGTTAATTTAACCCTAGCTCAGGGCAAGGTTAACTCTACCCTAACACTTCATACAAACATCTACTCGCATCTAGTAGTTTTATAGAAAACGATCAACGAGTGTTGTAGTACTTAGTATTAGTTGTTGTTATAGTATCTAGTTTCAACTTCGTGTTCAAATTCGAAGTACATGAAACACTGACTTCGCAAGAAAAAAAAATCCTAGCTTGGTGACAAATGAATGCAACGAGGAAAAATGGTTGCGCATTCCACTCTGACAAGTGCCAAAACAGAAGAATTCCTATGATAATACGCATTGACCCTTAAAAGAGCAGCACAAACCCGGTATAAAACGAACTACGCAAAAGAACCTTACACGGCACAGTTGCACACATGAAAATAAACCCACGCTGTAAGATTGGATGCTGCACAAATATGCTAGAGATGTATTATAAAAATTAGTGCTAGAAGCTTATTCGTTGATTATACTACTATAACAGTGAAAGAATAGAAGTATAAAGTAAATTTAGCGTACATAGGTATTCTGTGATGTGAGTTTGCACAGCGCACGCATAACTGACGCCTTAACCTTCCAGGGTTAGTTTAACCCTCAGGGTTCATTGGCCGTATTCATCAACCATAGGGTTCGCTGATGAATACGGCCACAGGTTCGTTGATCGATACGGGTAGATCGCGTTCCGTGGTAAACCCTAGCCTATGGTTGATGAATACGGCCATTGAACCCTGAGGGTCAAACTAACCCTGGAGGGTAAGCTTAACCCTCAGGGTTCGTTGATGAATACGGCCACAGTTCTTTACGAAAGTAAACCTTAAACTTTTTCTGTGGTCTATGGCTTTAAAAAATTCTTTGACTTCACCGTTTTCAGCACGAAATGATTCATGCATATCTCTTTGTCACCAAACGCGATCGCGACAGAGATGGTCATGGACCTGATTTCCAATATCATATGAACAGGTGCGACTAGTGAATTTATCGTTCAGCTTTCACGGCATGTACTGACATGTAGAGAAGATACCGGGGTATTGAGCGTTCATTCTGAAATATCCAAAAAACCTGTGGAGAGATTTTACTGGGTTTCAGAATCAATCGAATTGCAAATACAAAGATCACCATCTACCATTCCTTTCATGATGAAGTCAATCTGTACAAAACGCATGTTTGGAGGTAGGCGTTACATTTGTCTTGCTCCATTATCCTATATAAAAACACTTTTTGACGTCCAAAGCTCGATTGCTAACGCAATTTGACATAGTATGGCTGTGGAAGTTCTGTTCTTTTTCTCAAAAAAAAAAAACTAAGTAGACCGTTTGTCAGTCAGAGCAAGCAGGCATTTCGTGCTGCCGCTGTCCGATCATCGTTTAACGGCTTTGATTAGGTAGGGAAAAGGTGAAGGGGCCGAAAGATTAGCAAAGTCATTTCCATTCATGGCCTGAAGTAGGGAAGATAGGACTCTAAGCTTTTAGTCGTCCATCAAGTTCTTATCATAGATGTGATGGTCCTTGTCGTGACCGAAAGCCCTTTTACGGCTACGTGAAGCGTTCATCTAATCGTGCCCCTGGTCCCAATGATCTGTGGTGGAGCTCGCACAAAGCGAGTTGCAACGGTACATTTTGTTTGTCGTACTATCCTATATTCACTGTTGTTCTTGCAGGTACATTCCAAAAAATCCAGGAGCCTGACGGCTATGGACAGAAGAAAAGAAAAGCGACCAATAACGAGGTAATAATTACAAGTTTCTTATCGTAGTAGTATCGCACTGCAGTAACGAGCATGCTTCTAGAATGCCGTTCCCGAGAAGAAAATATCACCCAACTCGCTGCATAAATATTTTACTGGAAGCGGTCAAGTCTTGGGTACACTGACATCAAGTCAAACTACGGGGACTCCGAAGAGCTCTAGACTTCTAAATTTGTTTTCGTCTGGCACTGCTCAAGGATCATCTACCGTTGGTGAGTGGGTACCCTCACAATTTTCTCTCACATTCTGTGTTCTGTTACATTGATTTTTTTCACTTACCCGAAGACATCAAGAAATTTTGTAAAGTCGAGATGAATTTTTTTTGCTGTAAAGTTCTATTCAAAAGAAAAAATCCCAAGATTTTATATAGGTAACACTACCAAAAACGTTGAAGGACGTGTACCGGTTATTGGTACAGCAAACGAGGATTCAAAGAAAATACCTAATAAAAAGGTTAGATACTGAAGTTTTCTGTACGGACGCTTGAAAGTACTTTTCTAGGTGCCTGGTCCCAAGAAAAATATTTCGCCCAATTCTCTGGATCGGTACTTCAAAACCACATCTGGCAGTCAGTCCAGCCAGGTCTCGACTTCAGCTAGTCAGCCACTTGGTGCACCAAAACAACAGCGATCAGGATCCTCTGTTACCAACAGCACAGGTAAGAAAGATATTCCTACCCCGTTTTCTGTCAGAATTTTGAATTCTGTTCATTTTTCATCGATCAGAAGCTTGGCTGTAGTTTTCTTCAACCTCTAAAGTTTTTTTTGCAGACTCTTTCAAAGATGATGTCGGAAAGCCTGCGCCAACAGAGATAATTGACATAGAGCTGGTAGCCGGTCCCAGTTGGTTGTTACCAGCCACCTCTTCCTCTGATGGTCTTGGTAGTGCCACTTGTCCCATTGAAATAGCAGAAGATCTAGAGCCTTCCCAGCATTCTTCAACTTCTCAGCCGTCTCACTATCCTACTGCTGCCTTTTTAGACAAAACTGATCAGGTCAACTTGAGTAAGCATGTTTATTGCCCTTCCTGTGGAGATCGGGTTATTGAGTTTTACATTAATGAGCACTTAGATCTTTGTATCGCTGCACAATAGCTTTATTTTCAATTGCGGTGATATTTTTTTCCATATCTGGTGCTTGCTTCGGGTCTAATTGCTGTTACTTGCTTTCTCTTTGCTTTAATTTCTATGCATCAACTTGTTATATGCTATGTTACATGTCAACTTGCTCAAATGGCCATTTCATTTATCACAATATACTGCAAGTCAATTCTTCGTTAGGCGAACTGAGCATTTTTATAGATTTTTTCTTACTGCCTGGCTTCAGACGAAGGGATTTATCTACAATATCCGAAGTAGTTGGGCTTTGGTCTTCATCTTCTTCCAAAATTTCCAACCAATCCTACTGTTAAAGCACTTTAAATAGCTTAGAAAACACCTTATGTTTTTTATGGTGGTCGTTGGGTACTGCTTTATCAAATTCCATTTATAGAATCCCCTACTCCTAACTCGTTCGGAAAGTATATGTTTTACTCCATTTTGTTACTTGTACACTTCCCTGTGCTATGCGATCAATTTACTAACTGTTCTAGAAGACTTGGGTATGTGTTTATTCTTGATAGGTCATAGATCCGTATTGTTACTATGCATAATGGATAATGAAACTGCTTACTTGATATTATTTGACCTTGCATCTAGAAAATTTTGTTTGCGAATGACACGTACGAAACTTACCAAAATATATTCACTTACCACCGTACCTCCGCTTTCTTGAAAGGTCCTTTGATTTTTAAAATTGGTCTACATCTGTAATCATGTAGGCATAAATTTCATAGAATTGAACAAGCTTATGGGAAATCCTTTAAAATCGACACGTTTGCGGCTTGTAATCTAAATTTTCAGACCCATTCCTCTATCTGGATTTTTTTGTGTTTCCATCCTTCCGATACATTTGCGGCACCACTCCTGACTTCATATGATCTTCCGAGCCATGGAGCTTCATCTATTTGGAGTTTTCGAGTCTAATTTTATATCTTTTTCTTTTGGAATATTCGAAATTTTGATCCAATATTCGGGTTATTAGAGATTCCTGCATTTTGAGTTTGTTGATTGTTGCTTTGGTCCAAAAAGATGAATGTGTAGATTTATTAGAACTCCGCGGATCAAGGATCCGCTTATTATTATATACACGTAACAAAAAACAATTGTGTCAATGTCGAAGAAGAGGTCGTTTGTAAACAAAACAGATCACGTTGTCTTTTTGCGCTTCACAATGCTCTGTCGTTGATACCAAGTATGTGAAACCTAAAAAAAAAATATATATATATTCATAGGAAGGCAAAGTTAAGGTTCGTAAATTTAGATTTTATATTTTGAGAAATTGAACATAATTTCTACTGCAATTACTACATGCTATTTCCCGTTATTTTTTACAGCAAAAATTTTGGCGTTTTTATGGGTCATGCGATTTAGGATTGCTCTCACCTGTTCCTGAACAGATCACATCTACGGTAGAATCTGGGAATCTCTTCAATGAAGATTCATGAATATTTCGCTTTGATGCTAGTGCATCTTCTCGAACGATGTTCTAAATCATATTTGCTTTTTCTGAAAAATGAAAACTTATTCGAATCGCTCACATCCATGACTAAATCTCGTAGTGCTTTGCTATTACATTTTGTGTCTCCATATGTCGCAAGGGGTTCTCGGACTGCTAAATAGCTTATTTATAAGTTTAGGAGGAATGGTTTCCAGACTTACGACGCTTACCGTCTTCAGTGGCGAGATTTCGTGAAATTTCGTCGCCAATTTGGCTGGCTTCGATAGGAGATGCCGTTGCTTCCACATGATCCACCTAATGTATAAAATTCATATTTCTGCAAATTATGCTTGATATGGTCTAATTCCCACCTCGGCGATTTCCTCCATCTCGTTTTGAGCATGTTTTTTTGATCTCAAAACAACATATTTGATTTTAGTCGGCTGGCAAGGTGGTAAATCAGATCGTAATTTCGCGTATATATTTGGGACGTAACTGCCCTGCGAACCACCTCCAGGAGGTGCTTCTTGCCCTTCATCTATAAGTTGGGACTTTTGAAATTACATTTTCGTAAGCAAATTAGATGCCTTACTTTCAGAATCAGGAGGACTTGCTGGACTGGCTTGTAATTGTTGCTGGTGTGGTTCGCCACCTCCGCCACCGACAGGACCTTCTCCTCCTCCACCACCACCACCACCAGCATTGTGCTCTTCTCCTCCTCCACCTCCTCCCACGGGACCACCAATTCCTTCTCCACCTTGTCCTCCGCCACCTCCTCCTACAGGACCGCCATAGTTTCCTCCTCCAACTCCTCCTCCACCACCTGCTCCTATAGGGGGGCCAGCATAGCTTCCTCCTCCGTAACCTCCACTTCCACTACCTCCGTAACCTCCGATACCTCCAGCGGACGCGTAGCTACCGCCTCCAGAGTCTTAAAAATGTATTTATGGGATGTCGTCGGTAATCAAACGTGAATCATTACCTCCTCCATAACCGCCACTTGGAGGTGGAATAGGCGGCGATGCATAGCTGCCACCGTTAAATCCACCACCGTTAAATCCACCACCTCCTAAAATCGTACAATTATTCGTTGTCATACAAAATTTCACCATCAGTCTTACCGAAACCACCTCCTCCGCAGGATCCACCACCACCTCCTCCTCCACATGATGGAACATAGACTGGTTGCACTTGTGGGCAGTAAGCTGTAGGAGGTGGTGGGCATGCATTCTGGATGCATACGGGACATGGTTGCGGTGGCGGGCACTAAAAAAAACACTAAAGGTTATTACTGAAGTGGGCATAGTGATTAAAGAAAAACTAATTGTGAATTTGGATTACCTGAACAGGACAGCAGCCTCCACCTCCTCCACCGCCACCTCCACCGAAGAAGATAGCTTGTGCCAGGGAGGTCAGAGCCAATACTAAGGCTAAGAGCATCTAGAAGAATTTAGCAGACTAAGAGCGAGTAGGAGAAGAACTTGGAGATCGCGGAGGCAAATGACCGGACAATTATACGAAGATTATCGAGCGCCTCTTATTATTGAGTGAAATAGGGTCAACAACAATGTGGCTAAGCTTTTATGCTGCTGCGGAGTTTTTCCCTAATGCAAATGGACGTATAGCGACAGTCTGGATTTCGTCACTATATGAGGGGTGAAAAGAAGAAGAAAACAAGCACCTAGTGTTCTGGAAATCTGTGATATAGGAAATCCTTGTAATAATAGTTGAAGAAGGCGGATCCTGTACAAGGCGACAATAAGGGCTTCTCATGCACTCCACTGGCTATGTAGACATCAAAAGGCTAAACTTGCCGTTTAGCGGTGATTTATAAGTCATATGCAGCCGGGTTGGTTTGACCTATTTACCCGCGGCTACCAGTTTGAATAAAGCCCACCGCGATAAGGTACACGGCGAAAACGGCGATTACCGGTAATTCTTGGCGCTCCTTATAGTTTCTCTCCACTCGCTTATCCTTGGAGCGGATCTCGTTATTAGTCAGTTTTCATTAACGTACATATCCTGCATCACTGCTCATACATAGCTAGAAAAGAATTAATGAATATTTGCTTCTTTCGGGAACAATTTTTAGTTCAATTCAATTTTTTAGTTCAAAATTCGCCTGAAAATTTCAATAAAAAATTCAAGATTTTGGCAGAATAATACAATATTCATCAGGAAATCGTTTTTGATAACGACTTCTTGTTCGGTATTATTTTTTCCAAAATCTTTCTATTTTGATATTTCTATGGAACAGTGAAGAATGCCAAAATAAACGGAACAGATGTTACGTCTTCTTATTCGAATGCGATTTTCATATTCATGCAGAAAGAATTTGCTGAATTCAGTGTCAGTGATCGGGAGGTAAAAGTAAATTATTGGCCAAGACGAAAACTTCACTAACATTATTTTTCATTGAATTTTTCACATCTTGGGAATATTTACATAATCTATATCGAGTAGTATAAGTCCGAAAGCGACACGATTTCCATGAAATCTTCAAAAACTATCAGCATTCACCATTCACAGAACTCGAACTTGAAATTACACAAGACTTTATATTACGTCATCCAAAAAGTTTTGTCGGTTTTCATCCATATGTATATAAAACAACTTTGTGTGTTCGTTTATTTGTTCGTTCGTTATAGAAACGCTAGCCAATGAACCAATTGGGCTGAAACTTTGCACACATATGTTTTCTACCCCGAAGGTGGTTTAGCGCTACTTTTTGCAACGATTCGCTGAGAAATTCTATTGTTTGTTTACTTGCCTCTGTAAAATTTCAACATGCTCTAAACAATCTTTTGCAATATACATGTAAGCAGGGCAGTGAAGCTCATTCTAACCTCAAGCTCTGCAGAATGCGGCAGTTCGTCTCAACGCGCTTTTCGCAAGTTTGAAAGTGTAAGTAAAACATTTTTGTTAAACCAACTTAGAGTCGCGGGTGAAACCGGGGCCACCAGCTAGTTGCTCAATAGAACCCACCCAATCCATGGACGATCTATGTATCATTTGATTCATATTTCTATCCTTTTGCTTACGCTATATTGGCTCTCTGATCTACCCTGTCTTTGCTAAAATTGCCGAAAATTCCAAAAAATGATTTTTCATAGCAAATTAAACTTGTCTATGTTGCATAAATAATGTGTATTAGCAGTCAAGTTTCAATTCGCAGAAACTTCAAAAGCTTTCCTCTTTTTGCTGCAGCTGCGTGTTTCATGGCTTGTTCAAAGAGACTTCCGAAGAAATAATATTTTAAAGCGAAAAACAGCACGTTAGGAGAATCCAAAAATATTACCGTATAGTCGAGAATTGTTCTATTTGTGCCTTTATGAACTTCAAAATGAAATTATCAAAATTTAGCCAAACTTTGAAAAGAATTATGGCAATTGTCAAAAAAAGCATACAGGATTGTGGCTAGGAAATGTAACCAAGAGAAAGAGAAGAAAAGCTGCATCGAATGCATGTTGAAACTTATTCGGTCTTTATTGTGCGCGGTTTTATAGCGGTTTGCCGACAAAACTTTCGGGACAACCTAATACAGTAATCAAGAAATTCTGAACAACTCATACATCAGATTTTTGACTCCCAGAAAAAGAGCTCGGCGGCAAAATGGAAACCTATAGATTTAATCTTTAAAACAAATGTGACATCATAAATCACAAGGAATCTATCCTTTACAAAAATACTTTAGATGGTAGAATACTGAAATGAAAATGTAAAATACTTTAGAGAGTAAAGTACGAAGACTAGGATGTAATTGTTGTTTTGATAGATCGATTAGTTCTGTAGAGTAAAATATCAAATAAACGAATTTCGTCTGGTTTCAAGTGATGAAATGAGATAAAATCCGAAGCGAATCCATCGTATCCCTGGAAAAGGTTGTCCTTCTCTTGCATGATCTCAGTTATAAAGGAACCCTTTTCTCCGGAAAGTAGGTCCAGTTTGGATGGTAATGTGTAGCGTAGAAAACATCATAAGGTGTAAAAGCATTGAAACGATTTTGTCCGAGGCTATTTCTAGTGTCATGCGGGAAAATACCCACATTCGCTAGACATCTGAAGAATAGCGAAAGATCGTTCACCACGGAGAGATTGAAAAATCTCTACCTTGCCATCATCACGTCCTCGGCAAGTGAATTGGGACAAAGTGTTTTATTATTGTAGAGAAGATCGTTATAGATCTGCAAAGCTTTTCTTGAGAGTACATAACCGGATCCCCCTGTGTTGTAACCATGTTCCTAAAATAACGACCGAATAAACTCATTTATTTTGGGGAGCGAAATTACCAGTCGAGGTTTGAGGACATAACCAAGATAGTATGGTTTATTAGGGTCAAGTGTTGATAAATAGCTTTTTAAATGTTCCATAACAACGTAGGTGTCGTCGTCTGCCTCAAAAATCAGATTGTTTTGGAGTGAAGGCGTCCAAGCAAATGTGCAGAAACAACTAGGTTAGTACTGACTTGGAGACTTTGGCTGAGGTATTGCTCAATTTGCAACTCGTATAAATCATTTATGGTCGAGTTATTTAGCTCTGAATTTGCGCCCAGTGCCGTACACTTTGCAGGCGAACGGTACCGGGCGGCAGTTTGGAGCGCGGCTTCCCTGCTGCGGTTAGATCATACAAGCTTTTGCTTGGCCATTGGCTAATTTGACCAAGTTATTCAATCAGTACCCCCATAAAAAGTCTTGCCCAGATTTTCATTTTGAGCAGAATTTTTCAAACTTACCCTTATATACCACTCGAAATCTTTGGATACATAATTATAAATGTAATGAAATGCATAGCGAGTCTTGTAGAAAAGGGTCAAGTAGGAATCAGGGAATCCTGCGAAAACTGTTGAATAAGCAATGTTTTCCATTGAAAATTGATGATCGGTAAAGAATTCGCCATGATCGCAACGAGGCAGCCACGTTTCATTTATAGCCAGTGCCTAAAAAAGACAAATGGAATTTGCAAGCGTTAGTTTTTGCTCTAAAAATTTCTAGTGAGTTTGACAGGCATTCTTCGTTATCGTTTGATGAACACAATTTTGATATCAATCCCTAATGTTGGCTGGAATTCAGGGAAAACCTGCATTGATTTTTTTTTACAATATGTGAAGTGTAGCTACAAGTAACCACGCTAATTCCCTGATTTGGGAATCTTTCCTACTCACCCTTGTACCATGATAAGTTATTGAAGTCTGAACCCAACAGAATACTTGCCCAGATTTGGGTAAACGACGAGCTGCCAGAGAAGTATAAACATGATCCGCTGTACTTGGCAGCTGGTACGGTATTGGTGAAACAAACTTCCCTTTCCTGAACATCTAAAATCTTTGAATCTACTGTAGTTTTTCTTCCCTGCACTGGCCTACGTGTTGAAGGTTTTGACGTCATTGGCAAGATATTGAGCAAGATAGCTATAGAAGTCATACAGAGCAGAAAATATTTTGCATATGGAATTTTCATCGACACTCTTGCTTGAGAACTGCAAAAAAAGTGTCAAACGCGATCTTGAATTTTTTGAATATTGCCAACCTTGAGAACAAAAAATTCTCAAGATATCGTTGGAGGAGTCAGCAGAAATATGTATTCCTTGGCGGTACGTTTGTGGTTGTGCCTATGTCATGACATCGGAACAAGCTCGAAATAAATTGCGGAGCTGGAAGATTTACATATGAGTACCATGTCAACAAGACTAATAAATTGAAATCTGTTGCAGGAATGGTAATCTTGACGACGATCGACTTTTTACTTGCAATAAACTTTTTGTTCGGAATACAAGTTCGCAACTAATAAGGTCGCGAGATTTCGTTTAACAAAAAAAATGTTGTCACTGCATTGGCCAATGACTCCGTGATATTTGCGTCATTGCTAGGGAGAATTCATTTACGTCGGTGGGGAAAGAAGACAAGCATGATGACATGAAGAATTCAGTGGAACCATTCCCAAAAATTAATTTCAGCTCGAAAGTTCTGGAAGTCTCTGTCGTTAACTTCGAGACACATGGTCAATGTGCCGATGGTGAGTCCGCTTCTTATCGCCTCGGTATATTTATTTGTTTATTTATCTACTAGCTGGCTTACCCGGCTCCGCCGTATCCGGACCAAACTTGGCACACATACACTTCGGGCCCCGGCGGGTGTCACAGTCCACTTTTCGTTATCGATCGATGTCGATTTTACCGATTTTTATCGATTTTTTTGCAGAGTTCACCTGGGCTAGGAGTTGGCACAGGGGGGAAGTGAGCATGGGGATTCCGAATACAATATTAGTTTTCAGAATTATCGATTACTTTTATTGATTTTATCGATTTTTTGTAAATTTTGACATGCGAGGCTGGGAGTTGGCACAGGGGGATAATCGAGCATGCGATTACGAAAACAATATTAGTTTTCAGGATCGTCCATTACTTTTATCGATTTTATCGATTTTTTTGTAAAGTTTGACCTGCGGGGCTGGGAGTTTGCACAGGGGGTAATCGAGCATGCAGATTACGAACACAATATTAGTTTTCAAGATCGTCCATTACTTTTATCGATTTTATCGATTTTTTGAAAATTTGAGCTAGGGGGCTGGAATTTGGCACAGGGGTGTAATCGAGCATGCTGATCACCCCCCTTGGGGATGATCAGCATGCTCGATTACCCCCCTGTGCCAACTCCCAGCCCCCTAGCTCAAACTTTGCAAAAAAATCGATAAAATCGATAAAAGTAATCGATAATCCTGAAAACCAATATTGTATTCGGAATCCCCATGCTCGATTACCCCCCTGTGCCAACTCCCAGCCCCCTAGCTCAAACTTTGCAAAAAAATCGATAAAATCGATAAAAGTAATCGATAATCCTGAAAACCAGTATTGTATTCGGAATCCCCATGCTCGATTACCCCCCTGTGCCAACTCCCAGCCCCGTAGCTCAAACTTTGCAAAAAAATCGATAAAATCGATAAAAGTAATCGATAATCCTGAAAACCAATATTGTATTCGGAATCCCTATGCTCGATTACCCCCCTGTGCCAACTCCCAGCCCCGTAGGTGAACTCAGCAAAAAAATCGATAAAAATCGATAAAATCGATATCGATCGATGACCAAAAGTAGCCTATGACACCCGCCGGGGCCCGTAGTGTATGTGTGCCAAGTTTGGTCCGGATCGGTTCAGAAATGGAATTTTCTATTCGGAACATACGTACACACAGACATACAGACATACATACATACATACAAACAGACATTCAGCTTTATATATAAGAATTACTAGCTGGCTTACCCGGCTCCGCCGTATGTTCCGAATAGAAAATTCCATTTCTCAACCGATCCGGACCAAACTTGGCACACATACACTTCGGGCCCCGGCGGGTGTCACAGTCCACTTTTCGTTATCGATCGATGTCAATTTTATCGATTTTTTGCAAAATTTGAGCTCGGGGCTGGGAGTTGGCGCAGGGGGGTAATCGAGCATGCTGATCACCCCCACGGGGGTGCAGATCATCCCCACGGGGGTGATCAGCATGCTCAATTACCCCCCCGTGCCAACTCCCAGCCCCGTAGCTCAAATTTTGCAAAAAATCGATAAAATCGATATCGATCGATGACGAAAAGTAGCCTATGACACCCGCCGGGGCCCGAAGTGTATGTGTGCCAAGTTTGGTCCGGATCGGTTCAGAAATGGATTTTTCTATTCGGAACATACGTACAGACATACAGACAGACAGGCAAACAGACATTCAGCTTTATACATAAGATATGCACTTAAGGTGCGCCACAAAGAAGAAAGAACGCAGAAACACAAACACAAAGTCTAGCCAGTATATACTGACTAAGGCCCTGGCCAGACTTCGCTTAAAAGCGCTCAAAGGCGCCCAAAAGCGCCCAAAAGCGCCCAAACTTTTCTAACCTCTCCTCACTCTCTTTATTCTCTTCTCACACGAGAAAGTGAAGAGACACCAAGTCAGGGCAGGGCCTAAGAGGTCTTTGAAAGCTTTTGAATTCTTCTTAGGGTAAACTCGTCTGTAATTTGTGAACAATTATGTAGATGATAGTATGAGCCCTTCGTTTATTGGTCAAATAGGTGAAGACCAATTATCTCACATAACATCGCATATTATGTCCTCGTTTGTGGTTCCTAGGATAACAGTTTGCATTTTTTTATACGATGTGAACCACAAACTCTAAGCTTTGTGTAATTCCTACTTTTTAGAGCATTCAGTGGATTTTTTTTACTTTGGTCATAACATTATTCAGACGACAAATCTCAGACTTGAGTAGTTAACCTAGACATGACCAAAAGTGGAATACACGGTGAATGCCCATGAAAGCTGGATGAGTCAGCAATAGATTACATGAGCAAGATGTAAGTGTTTTGCTGTTCAAAATTATAGAAAAGCTTGAAGTCTTAAAACGATGAAGTTTTTGGGTCGTCTAATGGCTTCTCACTTACTCATCCCTATCGCAGTTGCCCGTACCTTAAAGGCAGCGTCCCACCAAACTGGGGGTACCTGGCTCTCGGAATGATGTAATAATAGACCCCCTTCCTAGGCGATGACTGAAGTTCGGAGCGAAAAAGGGGGGCTACCAAGCCTGAAATTTGCTCCGAAAGTGGGCCGAATCTTACGGTAGGGCCGAACGCCGCCCACATGGCAATATCAATTTGGAGGGCCAGAGTGCGTATAGCGCACACATTATACTTGGGGAAATTCGAAATTTTTTTCGAATATTCGAATATCGAATATATTCGAAAATTGAAAATTTCGAATATTAGAATATCGAATAATATTCGAAAATCGAAATTCTCGAATATTCGACTATCGAATATTATTCGAAAATGAAAATTTCGAATCGAATAATATCCGAATATCGAATGTCATTTGTTATTCGAATTTCGAATATTATTCGGTTCTCGAATGTTATTCGATTTCCGAATATCATTCGATTTTCGAATACTGACCGAATAATTTACGTCATTGAGACTGCCTATGAAGGGCCAAAACACTAAGAATAAATTGTTTCATGTAAGTGCTAAGAATGGACACATTCTTATCTTACAATTAACGATAGAAAAACGGTTTAGCCGTGACGTGAGGATATTTACGAACTTGAAAGCTACTCCTGTGACGGTTGTGAAGAGATTTTTCGTACTTCAAAGAAGATTATATACCCTCACTGAGAGTTGCGATTGGATATTAGTGTGTGCAACAGTGTGTAGATCTGTAGGCCAACTTAGAGTATGGGGCGATTTATCAATCGCTTTTTACTGTTAAAATTACCGTAAGACTGAAGCAGGTTTCAAAACATCAAGAGCCATTTCTCCAAGAAAAAGAATCAAAAGGGCTGAAAGTTTTGCTTAAGATTTCTAAAGACACTCACTTTATGTAGAATTTGCACTCAACCGTAATGCTTTCTTTCAAAACTTACGCCAGGTATCCTGTGTCCCCCAGAAAAGTTCCCTGTGAGTCAGCGTGCGTACGTGGTGCGACGCTGCCTTTCGCTCCTTTTGACACGTTTCTCCTGAGATCTCAACGGAACTTCCCAGGTTAACACGTTACGTTCAAAATAGCGAAAGGCAGCGGCATGACGTGGTACCTTTGGGAAATTTGCTGGGAAACAAACGATACACCGTAACAAGTGTTTTGCAATGCCTTTCAAAAATGTGATTGCCATTTGAAAAGCTTAAAAATTCGTGCGTAGTAAATTCAGCACGTAAAAACACTGCTGCACAGATTTTATACCTTTTTTGAGAACAATTCTTTTGGATGTCTTATTTTGCAGTTGGTCTATAAGCTGGAGTTTCCTACTGTGATAACACACAATAAGAAAAACGTGAATGATTTTCTGCTGTATTTATAAGCTGAAGCCATCCCTAGTGGATGTTACCCAGAAGTCGGCAAAAGACTTTGAGAGGTACTAGCGATCAAACGGTGTGTAGATACTTTTAAGACATCCGGTGTACGCTATGCATATCGAATTCTCGAATATTCGGTGCTTATCGAATTTTCGAATAGTCAGTTTTTATCGAATTTCCGAATATTCGGTGCTCGGCGAATATTCGAATATTTGATGGACATCGAATGATCGAATGAATGACCCTCGAATACTCGACTATCGAATAATATTCGAAATTCAAGATTTTCGAATATTCGACTTTCGAATAGTATTCGAAAATGAAGATTTTCGAATATTCGACTATCGAATATATTCGAAAACTGAAAATTACAAATATTCGACTTTCGAGTTTTATTCGAAATCTCAAATTTTTGAATATTCGACTTTTCGAATCATTCGCATTCGAATGATTTATTCGAATGATCGAATAATTATTCGATTCGGTC